GCACCACAGCCATCAGCACAAATGTAGGGGAGACTGGGGACAGTTAAAACACTTTTTGCTTTTCTCTCAATTACTCAGAGAGATGATTTGGACTAGGCCAACCATTGTACTATAGTAACTTTACATATGTCCTCTAATTCCCCATACTATTTAAATATGATTACATTAGACAGATTTTTCACAATATTCATTAGAAAAGAAAAAAAAAGTCAACTGTTACGACCGACCCCATCCCTGGGATGGTTGCATTACTACTAAGAGACAGGTGCAACATGTCACAAATCCATTCAATTTCAAAAATCAACTTTTTTTTTCTGGTCTCAATGAGCTTATTGGTCTGAGAATATGTATTATTTATGATATTATTATGATAATTTAATATACAAAATTTTGTAGCATTATTTATTCATTAATATAATGTCCAATATTGAGTTTTATTTCTTTCTGCATAAAACATAGGCCTACTTTGAGTCAATGTACAGATGTTGCAGATTTCACTGTAAGTGGATTGTGAATTTTACTGAGATACAAATGCAAATCTTGATGCAAATGTTACACTGCATATCGTGCAACACTAGCTTAGGGGCAACTGTCTTCAAGTGGTCATTCATGACAAAACACCATGCACTAACTAAACACACTGTTTTTAACAAATGTGATTGAATCTAACAAAGTAGTGATTAATTCATGCAAACAATCAGGACGGTTTGACAAAAATAAACCACATGAAAAAATTTACTTTCATACACCAAAAAAAAAAAAATTTTTGCCAATATATCCAGATGATGATGCTAAATGTGTCCTCTGTCCTGCTGGTGGGGGGAGGGTCCAACTGAGCATCTGCAGTATCAGTGTCATCAATCCAGCATCTGCCTTGTTACAACTGTCCCCAGTCTCCCCTATATCTCCATTGCAACTCGTAGATGTTTTGTGCACATTTTGTTTATTTAGTTTTAAGCACTTTTTTCTCATACAATTTATGGTTCCATGACAGGAGTAGTTTTTAAGTGAAGTTGCTTTTTACACAAGGATATGTTTTTTTTTTTTCGTTTGTACAGCTGTATTCATTGCTTCTGCACCATAACATGAAGATAAATTCTTCATATGAGCCTAACCCACTTTGTAATAACAGCGTTCTGGTTCTGACTGATATCACTTCCTGACAACTTCAAATTAGGTATGAGTGATTCATCCTGAGCAGAACATAGTGACACAGCCTTACAGAGAAATACTCACTAACTCAGATGTTTTTTAAACATTAAGCAGTCATAATATGTTTAGTACCCTGTGCTTTTTTTCCAGTTCTGACATGATTCATCTCTGTGGGATTGTTATTGGTACACTGTGGGATGATTATCAGCAGCACATTCTTTCAGCCTGAGTGCTCTCCACAACACCTCTGTAAAAAAAGAAAGAAAAAAAGTCAGAGTTACGCATGAGAAGAAGCTGACAAAGAGTGCCAGACGGGAAGGAGAGAACGACAGAATTTAATAAAGTTCAACAAGGCAGAAAGGATTGCACAAGCAGTGAATAGCGATTCTGCTTTTTCCTTCTTTACAACTTCTGCCTACTTAAACACTTTTACACCCCCCCCTCCTTTATCAGTGTCTGCATTCACTCAGAGAGCGAGAGCTGGTCACAGAGGGAGACGCTCATTCCTTTTTTTATTTGAATGTTGACCGAGGATGGCCACCATCTGTGCAAACTGTCCCGCTCTCTGACTCTGCTGCATCTCCTGCCATAAATATCAGCCTGAGCTCCACTTCTCAGATAATTCACACATCGCACTTAATCTTCCCTGCTCTGCCACTGTTCAGGCTTTTATTTTCTCAAGCTGACACAAACAGAAGTAGTATATCATTTTCAGGACACTGTGATTTTTGTCTAACATCATCTCTGTGGCATCTGCTGCCTTTGTTTCCCTTATTCCTCGTCATAAAGAAAACCTCTTCAGTCCTTCCAGAAACCCAGCCTACACTTATCTCTCTCTGGGTAATCTTTTTTTTCTCTTTTTCCTCCGGTCACTGAAAAGCCTTCCACTAAGCTCAAACACACAAGGGGAGTGATGGAAATGGGGTAGATGACATTGTTTCAGTGATATGGATGCGCGGCTTAAAGACAAAAGTGTTGCTTGAATGTTGTCATGTCAATAAGCCATCAGTCGCGCCGCTAACAATAAGTTAATGACTCCCCGGCAGTAATACATTTATGAATAGAGAAGTGTCTTCTTCAGCCCGGCGGGGGTGCCCATTAAAACAGAGCATGAACAAAATAATTGTGATTTGCAGATAAAATCCACTTTAGAATGGGATTCCGACTGAGGGATTGTTGAAAGAGCTGTAATTTTCCACTAAAACGTGACACACACTCACAGGAGCCCTGCTAATCAACTCGAGTATGCGTGTGTGTGTGTGTGTGTGTGTGTGTGTGTGTGTGTGTGTGTGTGTGTTAGCGAGTGTGTGTTTGTATGTATTTGGATTTGTGTGCACGTGTGTGTTTGTTTTTCAAGTCTTCATCTTGTAGTACCAACTTATTAATTGATTGAACATATTTAGTGAGAAACACTTTCTCACTTTAAAGGAGAACTTTGTGTTTTTTCCTTTGATAAAAAAAAGTCATTTGTAAAGTTGCAACAAAACAAGGATGAACTTTTGTTTCTAAAAATATCAAAAGAAGAGCCTTTATTTTGGAACAACTGCAGCTATGGAGTTAGAGATCTGTTGATGCTAGATTATGTCTTCTTGTGTTTTGCCCTGCATTACACCAGTCTTTACTGCTGTAATGTCCAGTATAGTTCCCACATATTATGATTTTCCTTAAAGGGAAAGATATACCTGAATATGTTCTCCTTGTAAAAACTTATTCAAACTGTTTTTGAAACATAACTTGGAGGCTGTTTCACCTTTAGTCAAATGAGAAATGGAGGAAAAAAGTTATCTTCTGCAATACCAGTGTGTGTCTGTGTGTGTGTGTTTTGAAATCCTGCCTCAGCATGAATCCTTCAAAATTTAACCCAAAGACCAAAGAGTTCATAAGTCACAGACATAAAACCTGTGACATGGTCACAAGCAGACTTTGCTGAGGAATAAGACTGGTTGCACAATCAAAAAACAACTGTAGGAAATGATTAATAAAGGAGTCACAGACATATTTCAACACACGTTAAGTGTGTGTTTGCATTCATTAACTTTGGAGAACATCTTTTGCCATTCGGGCAAAAAAGAGGGATGTTCAGGAAATTCTGGGTAAATGTAAAAATTGCAACAAAGTTTTTTGGAGGTTAATGATAATGAAGTTAAAACACAACAAAGTGACTCAGCAGATGAATCACGGGGCATGTTCAGCATGTGTGACTGTTTTGTAAAGACTTCACGCAAGAGACACAGACTAGCAGTGTAAGAAAATAGCTACAACATTTCAATACCATGAGATGAAAAAACAAAAAACATGATTATGTTATGTTTCCTACAGCTTTAAGCTTGAGAGGCATCACACTCTGTCCTTATATTTCTGCCAATGAAAAAACTTAGAATATACGCTGTGCGCATTTTCTTATGCACATCCTCAGACAACTTGTGGAGAGCTGACACTGCACCATAAAACCTAATAAACAGGGCTGACTCAGAAAACGGGTAAAGCTGTTGCCCTGAAAAATTAGTATACTTTTTCAGCTTTACAGTACGTACACTAACTTGTCCACTTTAAATATACTATTAGGCTTTTTTGTTTGTTTCAAGTGTTCAATACTTACATTAGATTGTTTATGTTAAGTGTAATTTTCATTGTGATCATGCTAAATCGAACTTCTTCCATATTTTAGCCTATTTTTTTTTAAATAGAGAAACTTTCCCCTGCAGCTGTAGATCTGTGGCTCACTGTGAGGCTGCAGACCTACAGTGAGCCTGCACTGCAATGCTGACAGTACACAGTAAACGTACGATCATATTTGCTTCATTTTATCTAAATACTCCTAATGGTTTCCTCTAATTATCAGCTATCTAACTGGCCGACAGAGGGTAATCTGCCGTATTAAAATTTGTCAGTTTTCTTACTTAACTTACGGGCATTAAAAAAAAGCCCCTGAGTATCACTAAAAGAGGAAATAGCTATTCTTTGGTTCTTTAGCCGACTAATAAAAAGTCTAGACACCAACTAATGTGAATTTCCCTGAAGAATTAGTGTCATCAGTGTGAGAGCCCTGCCCTGCACTCTGGGGTGCACTTTGAAATACTGTCTTTGAAATCAATGCTCACCTCTCCTCTCTCCCTTTAATTGAACTTTGTGGCCTCCTGTCGAGACCTTTTGTCTTAGAAAACAGCCAAGTCCGGAGCTGTGATTGAGCTTAATCGCACTTTTCAAACTGCTCCCTGTCAAGACAAATTTCAGCCTGATGGGTTCTAAAGGCGTCCACAAATTTTTGCTTAGATATTTCACCATTTTTGGTTGAAGAAACAATTCACACACAAATACACATTCTTGTTTTGTTTTTTTTTCTTTCTTTCTTTATACCTGCTTCATTAGTTATTATCAAGGATATTTGTCGATTTAGCACTTAAATGCTCAAGTTTATTCGATTGATCTCCAATTTGAGATTATTTTGCCTGAGCTACAGAATTTTTTTAGGTGCATGCAGCACAAAACAAACAGCTTTTACATCCACCCGTGACTGTGGTGACTAATGACTTTGGAGGATGTTGATGCCTCATAAAAGAAAAAGGCTCAAAGTAAACACCAGCTCTCAAAAGAAAGAAAAACAGTTCCTACACGTAGCGGCAAAGACAAGTGAAGTGACGCAGAAATGGTATTTCTTTTCTTTTTTTTTTTAACTGTGTTCTCTTTTTGATTTCAAGATTTGGCACTTTGGAGAGAAGAAGTCCATGCAAAAACATCCCCATCAGTCATGCTGGCTGGGTTTCCACAGTGCTGTTATTGACACAGTAAATTAAAGGAGACACACATCAGGTAGCTGACGGATCGGAGGAATCAACAGCCAACTTCTAATGGCAGCTTGGTGGCAGTGGGTGAGTTTATCTTTATCTTTCAGTCTCTTTTTTTTTTTACATCCATACTTCTCATTTACTTCTACCTCTACACTGTAATTCCCTCTCCCATTCTCTTTTATGTACATCTAAAAAAAGTAGACCCTACTTTATTGGGTGTATATATCCTCCTATAAACCTGGAAGCATACATTTGTTGGTCATAAATATTCACTTTCATTGGGTGTACCAAAAGGAGAAAAAAAAATCAGAACTTTTTAAAATCTTTAAAATAGGTCTACTGTTTCACTATTGGCTATTTTCTCCAGATTGCTCCCACGACATTAAAAGTACAAAGTTTTAACGTTTTAAAAAAGCAAAGTTCGCTCTCTTCTTGATCGGTTCTTGGCATTCCTGTGTCTCACTGTAACCTTGAGGAAAAAAAGAGGACTCTCAGAGTCAGTATCAGCCTTTTTAAGACTTTTCTGCAGTGGATTATTGGAAGAATAAGTATCAACACCAAAACAAATGCCAATTCTTCTCGCCATAGATTAATACTAATGATTCATGCACTTTTAAATTAAACCTTTAATGACTTTGTGGAAAAATTATGAAAAAGTTTAAATAGGTATCTAAGAATGATAGTTTGGAAATCTAAAATATTTTATTTCTTTGATTTTTTTCTATGTCATGCTTACACATGATGTTGCTTTTTTTTCTCACTTGAAAAATAAGAGTCCTAAAACTTTGAGCCTTAAACTGTGTTGATACATCAGTAAGAGACTTGGTAAAATGTTGTCAGCCCCTGGATCCTCTAAATGGCATGGCAAACTGCCCCGGTTACCATGGCTCTGAGGGGGTTTGAGAGCACATTAATCTTCAGGATTTAGGTTTCTTTCTCCTCTTTTTTTCTGTTTTTCTTTTTTCAAAAAGACACAGAACCGCTCAGACGTTCTTTAGGAAGCTGATTTATGATGTTCAATATCTGCGTGTGTAGATCACGGGTAACAGCTCTGGTACAAGGTAACCCTTGTTTGCTGAGCGTGTAAGAAGGAAAGATCATGCATAAAGTAGGGCTTAATCTCAGCAAAGTGAAGGAATGTGTGCTGTTTTGCGTTTGGATTTTAATTCACTTCCATATTTCGATCTAGATTTTGTGAAAACAACAATATGCTGTGTTATTAACATGTTAATAGTGGCAGAGATTGAGATTTATCGCTTAATGAAGATTAAATGTCTTGGAAAAGCTTTGGCATCAAAAGGTGTATTAATTTGCTAAAACTGCCACATTTTGGCACCCAACCAGCCCTTTGTTAATTGTGCAATCTGGACCCAGTGGATGATGTCTGCAGAGAGCCTGTCCTGAGTAAATGGAGCTCTCTGTGGCCACACATTTTACCTTTGATAGACAGGCAGCTGATAAAAATGAGATCATGCATAAAGAAGAATCACTCTTGCTGTTGTGCAACTTTTCTGCTGTGATTTTTTTCCCTTCTTCGTCTTCTGGTCAGACACGGCAGATTGATGGTGCTGTGACAGAGTGACATTGCATTCTGGGAACTAAGGACTATGGCCATAAATCTGCAGCAGTTCAGCTTTACAATGGCCTACTGTCTGACCATCAGAGGGTAGGAGGTTGTTAGTGCATCACCCTAGTGAGCTGCTAGGGTGCCGCCTTTGTGCTTTCTTTTAAGAGGGAATTAAGACACCGAGTGAATTTGTTAGGATGGTAATGAATTATGAAAAACTAGTGGAATTAAAAAAAAGTGAATTGGAAAATTCCCACACTCCTTAGACATTGAAGTTCAATGATTCCCTTCAAGTGGATCTGTCAAATCAGAGCCTCAGCTGTAGCCTTCACCTGTGTGATGTGTGCATGAGCAGAATAGAGCGAGCTTTTTGAATACAAGTGTGTGTTTTTTGGTTCAAGCTGCATGCATTTGTGTGTGCACAATGAGCGTTTGCAGTGTTGTATTTTGATGGGTTAAAAACCAAACTCAGTGATAATTCCCATAATTCCCAGCAGGATATTTGTTGTCTTGGGATACTGGCTGGAGAGGTCAAATGTGTTTGGCTGTTTTCTCACTGGGCTGCATGTATAAAAAAATAGTCACAGAGTTTTATCATAATAAACAGCCGGTCACACTGAGTTGAAACTGTGTTTCAAGACGTTAAAAAAAATGAGAAAATGACTGTGAATACTGTTCTCTTCAACACCAATAAAAGCAAAGAAGACAAGATTCAGAGCTGCAGTGTTTTGTCGCTTATCTATTATTATTTTTTAAGAAAACCAGAATCTCTTCAGGCAGATAAAACTTGTTTTTAAAGAAATTCAAGCAGCTTAAACCAAAGCCACCGATAGACCGTAATATTTGCAGATATGTGCCAAATGAAGAGTTCTGCCACTCAGCAAACTGACTCAGCAAAACTGTTGGGACAATTTCTTTACAGATTTGAAAGAAAAAAAAAACTTTATCTGGGGAGGTGTAATACAATGCAATACATTGTAATAGGGTGTGATAGGATACAATGTGTTACGATGAGATATGACGAGATGTGATGCAATATGATGCGGCAATACTTCTGGAGCAAATTGTTCTTTTTATTTGAAATTAAATTGATGTTTTCGTATAAAAGTAATTTCAAGTTGACTCTGATTCACAGCTGGAGTTGTTAATTTAGTGAGATGATTATACATTCAGATATTTAAACTGTGTTGTAATGAGGTGATTGTCTTGGGTCAGGTGATAACTATCAGCACAGGTAAGGTTTTTTTTTTTACAAATTGTTATTTGATATTTAATATGTTTTAGGAGACAGTTAATTTTCTTATTTAATTTGATTATGAGCAGAAATGAATCAGTTCCAACAAGCCAGCTGCTAAGTTGCATGTGAACCACTTTTCTGTCTGTTTTTTTTTACACACACGTTTCACTATTTAGTAATTTTATTTTTTCAGTACTGTACATTCCACAAAGAATTCTATTTATTTCCACCATATTGATGGAAAACGAGGATGTCTGCAGAGATAAAATCTGCATGGGTGCAGGTCGTGAAAGTGAATATAAAATGATGCCCGCCCTTTAAAACACAGAAATGAAAATGTCATAGTAGTATTATTTCAGTGTTAGAGTAATAAATTCCAGTCATGGTGATATCTAACCAACATTTTCTACATACTTAAATATATGGTCACAATAATCAAGAGGAACATATTTTACTCGTGCATTGGATGACCACAGATATTCTTATTGGTGATTTTGGCCCAGTAATGGCTGCCATACCTCCACTACCAGCATTCTCAAAGCTGCATATGCTCTCTCTCTCTCTCTCTCTCTCTCTCTCTCTCTCTCTCTCTCTCTCTCTCTCTCTCTCTCTCTCTCTCTCCCACCCTTCCTCATGAACTGGAGCTGGTGGCAGCTCTACAGTACGTCCTCCTCCTCCTGTGTGATCAGGCCTGCAGCACTTGTCATCTCCCTGGTGGCAGCTTAGATTCTCCAATTTTTAGGTTAATTAATCAAAAATGATTTCTTTTCTCATTAGCCATGCAGTTGGTTTGCAATCTGCAAAATCGATGTTTTACAGATGTTTCCCTGGGTTTTGTTTTTCGAGACGGCGCTGATTTTCATTGGGTATAGATTTAAGAGGGAGCTGAGGGATTGTGAGTTAACTCAGCCACACACAATCACACACACGCAGCCACAAACACACTAAATGCATATTACACAAAGTCACATGCCCAAATAAATACCAACATAAATTACAGCACACAGAAGACAGAGTCGAAGTCTCAAACTTGGCTCCTTTTGACTTACTTTTAGCACCTGGAATCTCAGTGAGGATGTAATCCGTTTATCTTACAGGCACGGACAGCGGTTCTGCTCGCTCCCTTATTCTGGTTCGCCTATATCGAGTCAATCGTTGCCAAACCCAGGGGGTTGAGCCGCACACACACTCTCTCTGGGTAGCACTCTTTAATCACGTAACAGCTTCTGGTTCTAGTTCCTGTTGGTTGTAAACAAATGTAATGTTGCATTTCCTGCAGTCTAGACATAACAACAAACCTGGCAGAACCAAAGAGGGGAGAGATTGTGGTTGTTAAGGAGAGGCTGGCACCAAAGTCGGCACCGAAACAGCGTCTGAGGTATAGAGGAGGGGACCCTTCAAACAGAGAAGGCCGAGGTGATTGACACCTTTGTTTTGAAGTATTGTGTCACTGAGGATGGTCAAAGTTATCATGGGGTGAGTGTATATGTTTGTCCAAAGTGGTGTCTCATTTTTTTTGTTTTCAAGACGTATCATCTTTTCTTTGCATATGCGAAAGTGTTCGAAAACGGTTCCGATGTTTGAGTTATTAACCTTTTTTTCTCCTGCTCTAAATTCCTTCATGTAAACTTTTTGGACCCTGGTATGTGCCATCTGCTGCACAGTTGTTCCACTCGGTGTAGTCTATGGTGTGTGTGTGTGTGTTTGTGTGTGTGTTTTGTCCACGTCTGTGTACACCAGTCCCCACCCTCCGTTCCGCTCAACTACACAGGAAAAAGAAGATGAAGCAGAGGAGCAAAGGAGCCCAAACAGAAATTATTATTGATTTAATCACATAATCAGCCGCAAACACTTCAGGCCAAGATAGCAAATCCATAATAGCCTCCCCACATAACCACCTTTACAAATTTACCATCAAAGCCCTGCGTACACACACTGCAAACACGGGGAACCAGGGGTCACCTTCAGTCGCCGGCAAAATATTGACGTTCCTAATGCTTCTATATGTTTTTGAGTTAAGCGTTATCAATCAACGATAAGGGCCTTGTGTCTGGAAAACATAACTCCTATGGCAGAGGGATTACAGCATCGCCTTTCTTGTCATAATCTGAGCATATCTTTGCAGACAAAGGGAGAGGATGGTAAAATCAATGTTGTCAGAGGCAGACATTTCCCACTGTGGCTGCTCCGCTCTGTCTTTAGATTAGATACAGGAACAGTGGGCTAACCTTTCAGACATCAAGATTTCTTCCTGTGAAAGTGCTCCTGTTCATGCTCAAAAGGAGAAAAATTGACCCATTCTGTACTTTCAAAAAAAAACTTCACACCTATCACAACGCACCTATCTTGCTTTAAAATCTTGTTTTTCCAGACATTATTGTAATACGAACAAAGAAGCTTGCAATAATTTCAATACATGAACAAAAGCCTTTGTGCCTTTTCTTAATTTGTTCGGCTAAAATCTTAATGACACAAAACTTTTTTGTACAAAAGTGTTGAACAAATGGAAACACAATGGATGATAATTTGATTTCAATAGGGTGGGCTCTGTTTTCAATTAATCAAGATAAAATAATCCCTCTGTCTCACTTTTATTTACAAATAGTCATTTTGAGAACAAGAAGACTCTGAGTTTTGTCACCTTGAGAGCAGCTGCAAAGCCTCTGTTCTTGAGAATGTGAGACTGGGGGCAGGGAGGAACACCTTATATCTGTGCGGCAGTCTGACATGAAACATTCAAACAGCTTTAAATGGAGCCTGTCGATAGCTGTGTTAACAATTTATGCACTTGTAATGTACGGTGTCTGTTGGCATTCAGCAGGATTTGATGTTTTATGATTTTTTTTTTCTCTCACGAGGCAGTAAATGTACAGCAGCGCCGTGTCTCTGACCTAGACTTCAACTCTCAAAACACAAGACTTTTGATTTTGCATCAAGAACGACAAACATTGTATATATATATACGTATATATGTGTGTGTGTTTGTGTGTGTGTGTGTGTATTTTAGTGTCAAAGTCTGCTGTTCCCACTCCCCAATCTCAGTTTAGTTTGTATTTATTTTGTTCTCAAATCTTTATTTTCTGCTTGGTTTTGCCATTTTTTCAGCAAAACTACTCTGTTTAATCCAGCCAAAAAAAATGTTTTTCATATGCGGTGAAGTTCACCATTCCCATACTGTACTGAAGCAGCCTGCTCATGTCCAATAAAACCTTTTAACTTTAAATTAAAGACAGTTTTGATGCTCTTGCTTGCAGTTATTTCTTCGGCATTATGAATTACAGCCTGATAAATCTACTTAAAAAGAAATCATTTTTTCAGCAAGTGAAGACCACCTTTCCTACACCCTGTTCAAGCAGCCTACCTATACTCAAGAAGGTCGACTTTTTTTGCAATGAAATTCAGTTTTGATGCTTTTTTTTGTTGTTATTTTTACCTTCAGTAACCATTGGATGTGTTTTCTTTTAAGAATAAAGTTTATTGTAACCGTCGAGGTCTATCATTCCCAAACTCTGTTTTATTAAGTCTACCTATATGCTCTTGAAAGTCTTAATTTTTTGCATCTAAACCCAGTTTAGCTACCAGGGGGAGTCAGGAGAAATGCTGCAGAATGATTTTAACATAGATCTGTTTTTAACTTGTGCCACTGTTATATGTTCCTCTTCAAATCTACAGTCAGTCTCCTTCTTAAAGGTTTGGTTCAGAGATGAAGCTTTGTGAGTACAGGTGGAGCTACAATAGAAAAAGCCATGGTGTGGTTGAAAACCTGGATCCTGTAATCAGAAAACAATTCAAACCCAAAGATTTAACATTTTGAATAAAAACCCAGTTTCAAGCTGGCCCACCCCTAACGGTCTGCACTAGAAGGAGGATTATTTGTGTAAATTTGTGTACAGACATTGACTTGGATTCAGATATTAACACTCCCTTAACATCCATCTCTGCAGCAATCTATCCATTCAGTTGCCTATCCTTGTCCATCTAGCTTGAGGCTATGGAAGCCTAATTGTTTACCAAAGGGTTGCGGCTCATTTGCTCCTGGAGATTGGGCCTAATTAACACTAACTTGTCTGAACACCGAGGAGCGCTGTCCACTCCACTTTAATCTAATCTGTACTCTTTCAAAAAATAATGAGATCATTTACACCTCATTAACGAGCAATGTAATGTCTGGGAATTAATCATAATGATTGCTTATCATTTCACTTTGCAATATTATCTCCTCTAATGAAACTGTTCACACAACTGCCAAGAGGGCCTTAATTGGTCGTGTGAAATCACAGAGCACCCGGCAGCTTGCCGCGACGTGTGTGAAGTTCTAATTTGCATGGGTGGGGGGGATTTGAGAGGAGGGTGCATGAGGGGATGGTATCACTTAGGAACGCACATGCAAATTCACTCGCATTGGCACACATACACTTGAAAAAGTGTATAGAAATGGGGTGGTTTGACTTTAGAAATGTGCCATCGTGCTGTAGTACAGTTCATTTATCATGAAAGAAATGCTTCCAAAGGGGGAAGCCAAATTGAATCTCTGTGAATTTTAACAATAAAAATTCCAATACTTCAAAATTTTAGGACTCTTCTTCAAGTAAAATGAAACTCAGTGTTTTCTCTTGAAGTCTGCTGTCCCTCTTTTTGGCATAAGCCCCATGCCAGTGGTAGATGTGTTTATCCAAGTGTCATGGCATCCAGACTGATCCCGGCTTTGTGCCACCATGTGAAACCACAGACATGACAAAACACCCATCCAATATTCCACTTATTGCATTGTAACCTCCTATAGCTCACTGTATATCCACACAGCTGGTCACTCCCTTCTCCCACGTCTGCCTCCTGATGGGATGCTAAACAATGCTGATATCTGTTCAAATATTTCCCCCTCCCCAATGTGAGGACCACCTAAAGAGGCCATGCTTGACTGGAGGGAGGAGAGCACCGAGTCTGCTCTGTGCCCTGGCTCCTCAGGCTTAGGAGGGCTTAGGTGCGGATGTCATTTGCTCTTTCTCCCTGGTCGGAGTGGCTAGCTGCTAATTGTGGCCCCTGGTCTGTGAGTTGAGCTTGTGTAGCTGAGGAGAAAAGGCTTGCCCAAATTGAAATCTGAGTAGCGTGTCTGAGAGTCGGGGTGACTTCCACTCCATCGTGGATTCGGTTTTAAGACACAGTCATAATTCCTTCGGGGCTAATTTCATCATCCAGAGGAACATTATTTTGTCTGTTTGCTGCAGCAGACTCTATCATCCTTTCCTCCCATTTCATTCCATTTCCCTGTTCAGTGGATCTTCCTCGCAGTCGACCAAGACTCCAATTGGCAAGTCCAAAGTGAAACCAAACAGCGAACCAAGGCAAAACCTAAGAACTTACTCTCATTTAAAATTGAAAACGGAGTTTCCAAGTGTTTTCAAACCAATATTTTGGGGCATTTTTGCCTTAATTAGATATTAGGATTGAAGAGGAACTGGAAATGTGGGGAGTAGAGAGCAGGGGCAGACAAGCAGCAAAGGTTTCGGACCACAACCACTGTGGCAAGGCCTCTGTATACGAGACCTGCATGAGCTTGTATTTATTTTTTGATATCTGCTTTATATTTCAAAGACTCAACAAAGAATGTTGAGTCAATGTACCAGGTCATGAAGGACTTTGAAAGTCTCTTAAAGCCAGCTCAGAGTGATAGAATGAGGAGCTGTATGGAAGTTTGGTTCCTGCTGAGCTAAAAGGTCTGAAGGATTTAGAGTCCCAATCGTTCTTTTTTTTTTTTCTTCAAGTGTTCTCATTGGTCTTTAAATTGTTATTATGAAGTCTTTAGCCAAAAACCGCGTTACCTGTATCATTTTCAAGGGCTTTTCTTTTGCAAAGCTCCAGTGACTCATTAGCAATTCACCTTTGAGTCACGCACAAAGACAGCGACACTTTGCACACTCCCTTTTATGCTAGCTCGTAGCCTAACATTGCCGGTGCAGTAGAAGTGGCAGGTAGCATAGAAGCTATTCAGCTCCATGACACTAATGGATTTGGGGACATGATGGCAGTAAATACCACAATTAGCCTTTTTATGAGCATTGCAAACCGCTAAAGGACACGCTTGTTCACGATCGTCCTCTCTACTATTCCGAATCTGGCCTGCATAGCGGGGCTCCGGGATTAGAAACTTTGTGTGTCTGAGCCTGTCGTTTGGATCTGCCAGAGAGTCACAGGGATTTGAATGCAGAAATACTCAGAAATGCAATTTTGCTCTTACTTTTCTCATGTCAGAAAAACTCCATATGAACATGTAGACAACAAGAAAAACGTGATTTTCATTGGAGTGGGCCTTTAAAGAGTCTGAATGCCCTGCACTAGGCTCTACAGTGAGGCTCTTTAGGTGGAGAAGGATCCAAACTCTGCTTCTGAATGGTAAGAAGGATCCACGTTAACTTGAGCAAGAGTTCCTTATAGATTTAGAGTAGCATAATCAGTGGGTCTTAATAGATAACATGTTTGGATTGAATATTTCACTGGATTCATGAGGACTGTCTGACCTCTGGCCATAATACTGCAGATCTACTTGATGTTTGGTACATGAATCAGAATCTGGAAGGAGATAAATTATTTAAAACAGCTAAAATAACTTTGACTTTGTGACAGAAGTTTTGGAAATCTGATGAATGTGTTAATCAAACTGGACCAGGTAGACATATCGGTGTCTCTGAGATCCCAAAAGGGTTGTGTCAAAGCCAAGTCTGAGTCCAAAAGCCCAACTGACCAAGGCAAAGCTACAGTCATGGACAAATGGTCCGATTATCAGCCTGCCTCAAGAACCACAGCTCTGCTTCCTCATATGTTTTTTTTTTTTTCTCTCACTGTCAATCCTCCCATCATCTTTACTTGTTGCCCTTCATGTTCCTAAGTGTAAAACTGTCAGCCCCTCCTCGTCTCAATAAAGACTCTGGTTAACATTCACTCTGTGGCGGAGTCAAACGTTTGCGCTGCCATAACCACGTGCTGATATGATTTATTCTCTCCCCTGAGGACCCCCTCTAATGAACAGAGATGTATGCTCAGCAGACCTGTACATGTAACCTCTGTGTGCTCAGAGGACGGCAGCGCTGTAATATGATAAGTGCCTTGTCGATAGGCTGTATGATATGCTAATCATACTAAAACACGGTGCCTCAGGCTCTCTTCTTGTTTATTTATGAAGGCTTGACCTGAGGGAGAGCAATAATCGGCTTTTCTCTGAACTCTCTAACCCTGGGAGCCAAGGGAACCGCCAATCACACACATCTGAGTCCTATAATTCCCCCACCTCGATCCCTCTGTTCCCCCTCAACCCGGGCTGAAACGGCAGATTTATGCAAACAGCACTGTGTGTGCATTTTCCAGCCCGCATTTGTCCGGGGCACATGTCAAGCGCTCAAATCATTAAACTAATTATTAATTAGGACTGACGTAAACAAGTTGTCAGCAGCCTGCCGACTTGACTGTGTTCTCAGCTCAGCAAACACAACACATTTACCAGACGTAGTGTACATATTACACAGCTATCATTTGGCCATGATAATGTATTTCTCCAATGTGAATCCAATGCAGAGAAGAAAGCCATTAGCGGTAACAATTCTGGTACCGGTGGTTACTGTAAGGGGGCATAAACATTCACAACTGCATTGATTTTGTTGCTTTACAAACCAGTATTTAATCCCAAACACAGATGATTTTTCATGTTACATGCATGCATTATATAAACTGTTTTAATGTACTTGTATTGTAAATGGAGTACAATGTTTAATGTGAAATGGTCATATGCAGGGCAGATATCTACTGTTTGTGATAATAATTGACGTGGTCATGCTCCAATTATGATTCTTAAATGATTAATACATCACAAAGCCCAGGTTTAATAGTATTAATTATTTTAATCTCTTGACAACCAGCATTGATTTTTCTGATAACAGTCCATCTACAACCTTGTTTTCATAATAAAAACAAGGCATAAACAAGCTGAAAATCCTCATTTGTCAACAAGAGCTCGGAAAAACATGGTTGATTTTTGTCAAAGAGAGGACTTACATGCTCATTGTTTTTTTAAATATGTGATTTTTTACCCAGCATGTGTCCTATCTGTTCGTCTAAAAGAGAGTTTTCTTCTGATTATCAAATGAATTATCTGAAGAGGTAACTGAAGGTTCAGTTATGAGAGTATCATGGTTAATAACGGTAAGGCCCTTTCATAGGCTGGAGGATGGCCTGACAAACACAATAGCTAATGGGATGTCTAAGTCTTTACAGCTAACAGCACTTTTTGAATGAAGTTGAACAGAAGGAATGGAAACAGTCTCATCTCTTATGATTGATCAACATAGACTTCAAAGACAAGGCCTTCAGCTTGAGAAAGGTCATGTGAGACGAATTCTTTTAGATATCCACTAACATGTATGCTTGCTTCATGACAAAGTGCATCAAAGGTTATATTAGATCTTAATACCAATTTCTGATCAGCTAACTTAATCATTTTAAATACAGAAGAAGTTCTGGCTAAAACGAATTATTTTTATATGATGTTATTTTTCCTGGCTTAAAGCTCCTTTGAGGAACTTTTGTTTCATGTAAATTTCGGCGCCCCCTGTTGACAAAGCAGCATTTGATTGTTTTATCCTCTAATAGTTGACATTTTACAAACAGAAGCTGCCTGTGTCTTGAACATGTTGTACCACCATATTTGTCAGGTCATATTTAAAGCAGACATGCTTTACCAACAAAGCTAAGACAGTTACAAACTTTAAGAACTTCCACTTACATTTGACCACTGTAAAAGGAAAGTCCCCGCAAATGACATGGTTGCACAACTGTCTCATACTTGAACTTTGGTATGAGCTTTCTGACTGCACATATTTTCAGGGGATTAAAACAACTGCATAAATCTGAACAGTCATGGTGTAAGCCTCTAACATGAACACAAATCCATGGTGAGGACATGTACAAGTTCACCTAAGGCTCCCAAACCATATGTAAGGGTTTGGTCTGCTATGGTTTTACAATGTATTGATGGCTAACTAGCTGACACTTTTGAGCTAATGTTAGCTTCTGGTTTCTCTTAACTAGTGGTGACATTTTCTGTGAACTCCTGGGAGTTTTTACGGTTAACTTGGAGTGAATTAATGTCAAGTCTGGATTAAGAGGGTGGTTTATTTACTCCTGACTGCAGATTATTTGTTGTTACTCTCCTTGCCACAACAATCAGTGGTGTCATAAGAAGACTGATATGAATGAAAATAAAGAAAACTGTCAAGAAACCCAAAAGTATGACAGTAAAGTAAATATTACCGAAAGTTCTGTTTTTGTAAAGCCTCTTTGAATGACAACACTTCTTTCTCTCTCTCACTTTTTTTTTTTTTTGTGTGTGTCCCATACAAGTATTTCAGTGCCAATGTTTCAACAGTTTGGATGTTGATACCAATGCCAAATGTTGTTTTCAGTGCCAAACTCTATTCAGGTCTAAACTAAAGACAATAAATTAATTAGACTGGGCCAATATGGGCCCTGAACTAGAATAAACCCAGGATATTCATGTGAAGAGGTTTTGTCTGCTCATAAAACACAAGGAAATCAACAGTAAAAGCCTCTCCAAGAACCACAAAAGCATATGAGACCATCAGAAACAAGGAGACAGTTTCTACATTTTGAATTTCCAACCTCTATAACTGCTTTGAGACAAGATGGCTGAAAACCAAAGAGAACAGCTTTTTCCAACTTTTTCTACAGCAAAGATTCACAGTGAGTGATGTTTGGCTGTTCAAAGACAGTAGAAAAAAAGGCTCATCAGTGCTTTACGCTCCAGTATCTTCATTGTGAATATCTATGTATGATGATGCAGGAAGCTCCTTGGTGGTAACAGGAATGTCCAGGTTGACATTTAGAACCACATGAGGTATTCTGGTGTAGCTAGTCTCAACCATCTCAACCAGGATAACAGCAAGAGTGTGATCTTGACTTTGATTGTCAGGCTATAGACTGCCTTGTCATGTGTATGGCTTTATCTGCAAACATAAGGCTGTAAAAAGAAGTATGCAGGTCATTGATGTAGTACATTGCATGAATATATCACTTATCATAGTAATTTGTTGATGCATTTTTCAACACCTTAGGCTCAGAGTTTCAAACCCATTTGGATTTCACTCTATATATTCTACATTTCTCCCCAGACTTGCCTTTTTCATTTTCTCTATAGCAGTACTTTTTTATACTGTCTCAGTCTAAAAGTATTTTTAAAAAGAGCAAATGTGTCTCAGGGTGGGGCGTAAATCAGAGCTCGGGCCTTGCATCTGTGGGCTCGGGGACAAAGGTTTGTTTGTGTGCCTCAATCACTGTTGCTCATGAAAGCAGACACTTACTTGAAGAAAAAAAAAAAAAACTCCTTCTCTTTTTTTTTTTTCAGGGAAACACTCTAAACCAACATCCTGGGTATAAATTTGCAAAATGCAATACAGGCCTGATTGTGTGTTGAGTGGATGTGGGGTGCATACGAATAGACCCTGTACCCCTTCCCTCTCTTTTCTCCCTCTGACTAGTGCTGCTCAGTCCCTTCACCTCCCCCTAACCCTTCTCAGTTCTCATGCAGGACAGATAGTAATGACAAAGATGTGTAATATTTTCTTTTTCACTGTATTTCTCGAACTCTTCATTTTGATGTGACAAAAAATCAAATAGTGATGAGATTATCCCCTTTCATAAAGGTAATTTCTCAGGGAAACTATATTGAATACATTCTGGCTTATTGTTTTTTCTCCCCCTCTAGATGTGCACCTTTTTAAAACCAAATTTCCAACGATTTTAGCAGTTTTGATGTAATCCCTCTCAATTCTGAGTGTTTTCTAGTAAGAAAAGTATCTATTACCTGTAATCTAAACCACATTCACCTGTCAGGTCCAGAAAAAAAAAAATCTTATTTTAACATATTACACAACAAAAAATAAAGATCTGAATTGCTTGTAATGAGTAAAAAAATAAATCTGCTAATGGAACAAAAAAAAAGTTACTTAGCAAGTTCTTAAATGTAGACATGTTCTTATCTTGAGAAACTTCACTTTATTTATCTATTTATTTTAAACTCATTACAAAATATTCATTCTAATTTTTGGTATGCCATGTTTTTGAATAGGCCTTTTTAGGACTTGTCAGCTAAAAGTGGATTTTTTTTTCCAGTAAAAAATTCCTTTTTACCTAAACAAAAGAAAAACAAAATGCCGTCCATTTAACCACTTGATAAAGAAAAAAATTAAAGCCCTTTTTTGGCTGTCTTTTCCTCATCACTTCTTTGGCATTTGTAAAACAGTGAACTCTTGGAGTCTACAGTATCAGGGTAAATGCTGAGCCAGTGGGTCTGAATGAGAGGGCTGGGAACAAGTGAAGCCTTGGCACTGACACCAGGTCAGCTCAGAGCCCCCTCACAGCCCAGCCCTCAGCACCAGGTGTTCCCTGCATTCAAATGATACTCTTATTCATAGACTGCCCCGACTGGAGTATTAAAACTCAAAATTTGCAACTGAATGCTGATATAATCCTGGAAATATATGTCTCCATTAAAAAGTAGCCCATTTAGAGGAACAAGGCGGTCTTTGTGTGAGGCTTTATGTATATTTATCAAGGCGCTAAAAGGGAGCCCGAGGTGGGGGTTAAGGAGGAGGGTTGGGGGGTGGCAGAGCAGACTTTCCAACTGTTTACATGTTAATTTCAAACTTAACAGCCCTTGTCCTGGAACTATTTAGACACAGAATGCAAATCATTTTTTCCCCATTTGTTATCCACTTTTTTTGCAGACACTTGACTGTTGATGGAAAAATGCAAATCAAAGTTGTATGGAAGGAAATTTCACAGGGATTCAAGTGACAGGTTGGATTTTGTTGAGCCCGTTTCACCAACAGAAAGCGAGCGCCTTTCTGTAGTTAGAAAAGAACAGGTGTCAGTACAGTATGACTGCTTTGCATAAGTCAATTTGAATTCAATATATATTTCCCGCTGGAGGTTTCACACTTGAGATAGATGTTATCTTTTTGATTAAACCTCAGTTGGAGGAGTTAGAAGACGTTTATTTGTCTGATTTTTTGGCTGATCCTGGTAAAAGTGAAGTTGTAGGAACCCTCAGAATCCCCAACCAGTCTGCAGTCTGGGGCTGGTTAAATCATTTAAGATGCTAACAGGAGAAAATAATGCTAGGGGAGTATTGTTGTTTATTTTATCCATTGTTTCACTTTAAAGGCATGGAGTTTTTCCATTCATTTGAAACAGTCTCAGTCTACCAAATGATGCCTCTTCATGACCAACATGGTAACATGAGAGTGTTGTTTGGCAGTTAGAAATAAGGAAGTGAGCAAGAGGAGTCATTTTTCTTTCTTTACATCACTTTCTAGTTTGCAAAAATGTACTCAAGGCTGATACCGGAGCAGGATTAGCAATAAAAAATATATTTTCTCCAAGTATCATTTAGGACAGAGACACTCAACTACCAGGGTTTCAAGTAAAGAGTAAAATGGCTAAGAACAAACCCTGGTGTTCATGCAGGTATATACAGAACATGCTTTAATGCTCTTTCTGCAGACCTCATGACACCTGGGCCCCGACAGGTAACATCAAACATCAAGTTACTTTTTGTAAAGGTAAAAACTAGACTTTATGAAATTTGTTATTAATTATTTTACATTGATACAAATCAACAGTGACACCGTGAAGTCAAGCTACAGTCATAGCACAATAAGGCATTTTAATCAGATTTCTGTCCTTGCTACGGTTTATCAGAACCAGAAACCGTCTCCACTACAGGAGGTGTGTTATGCCTCCTTTCAGCTTTTAACTGTCAGGTTACATATTAAAACTGTTGGCATCAGCAAGAGGCCATCAGGAGTACAGTTATCGCAGAAAACATGTCACTATTTTAGCTCTGTCCTTCCTTGCCTGTCAAAGTTTTATTTTTACTACCTGACTTCCTAGCATCCATGCAGTTCAACTTCTCAAAGCATGAACACTGGAGCATGCACAGAACACTTTCAGTCTGAGTGACACAGTAAGATTTCCTAAATCACAACAGCAAGCACCTTCCCCCGGTGCCCCACTACGCAGGCCAGACTGAGAGAAGTAGAGAGGATGATCACTGAACAGTGTTAGTGGATAACAAAGCTCGTAAGAAAGCTAATTATGATATTAACTGTCATCATGTCCCCAAAGACATTAGTGTAAAGAGAGCTGAAAAGCTGCTATGTTTCTTTCTACTTCTACTACATCTGCAATGTTAGGCTGCAAGGTAGCGTGAAGAGGAGTGTACAGAGCAGCGCTGTCTCTGCCCGTGACTCAGAGGTGAATAGCTACTGGAGCTCTGGAGAAGAAAAGCCCTTAAAGATGACACAGGTAATGTGAATTTAGCTAAAAACCTTAATTAAAACCATAATTCAGAAACCCCTGAGAACACTTTAAATTCTGAAAAAAAAGAAAAAAAAAACAGATCTGAGAGGGACTTAGAGGGGAAAAAAAAGCAAAACATGGGCAGACAAAGCTACATTACAATAATGTTAAACATTTAAGAGTATAATGCATTTTTACAGACATCGGCTTGACTCAAATTTCACTGTAAACGTTCTCAGTTTTAGTACAGCTAGGTGTGTCAGTTGTTGAAGACAGCTAGGTGGATAACAAAGCTCATTTTCCCGTTAACTTTTGCTAATATTTGATAACCTTGCACCACACAGTTTAATAACAATTTTATCAAAGTTACATTAACAGACTTAACTGTGAAGACCCAGAAGCTTATCACTGAAGCGGACCATTATAGTAACAGCCTCAGATTAGAGCTCACATGGACTGCTGCTATAAATACAGTTTACAAAGCTGACATTGGGCGCGAAAAATGCATGAATATGAATTAAAAATTTTCATAGATAGTTCAACTTTTACATTTTTCCCAGTGGGTAGCAGTGAACTTCAGCTACAACCATTAATTCATATATATCAGCAGGAAACTAAGGGTCTGATCTACTAAAGGTTTGTGTGTTAAAAAACACGTGCAAACTTGATAGCGCACGCAAACCTGATCTACTAACCGGGTGCACCGAAGATTGTGTCTGTCAAATGAGCAAAACAACGCGCACAATCGATTTAGCGTGTTTGCCTTCATGAATACGCAGAATGCAATTTTTTCGTTTGCACACGCAATTTAGCGCTCGCTATTTTGGATCTTAGTAGATCAGGCCTTAAGTGTTCTGACAAAACAAAAGCCATGATTTTATAACTTCAACACAAAGAAGTCATGCTGCAAGTATTGACCTCAAAGTAGTGTACAGGCTACTTAAAAGATCCGTTTAAAACCCACCACGTTAGCTTATAGCTTTAGCCAATAAGCTAATTAGCTTAGTTTTGGTCTAATCTCCCAAGAAAACAAGTTAGCAAACAAGAAGATGGGATTAATATCTACCTTTCCAAACAGATAGATAGATAGATAGATAGATAGATAGATAGATAGATGACCTCGCACATTTTTTAATAGTGGGTTCTTTGTAAGTTTTACTAGATATGTCTTTTTAACACAGTCATGACTTCTGAGCTGTTTTAAATAAAAACGACAGAGAGAAAACATGAGAAAAAGAGATGTTTCTGTGAAAGGTGGTTGGCTGAAATGACATAGCAACTAGACAGGAGTCCACAAAGAAGGAATGTGTCTAATGAAACGCTACAATACCCCCTCAACCCCTCCCCCTCCCTCTCTCTCTATGAGTGAATGAGTGAGTGTGTTTTATGGTTAGAGTGCTTTGGCTCGACTGCAGCTTTGTTTGGACGGGTTTTGGATGTTTGGCTCATTACGTTGAGGTTTTGCTGATTGTTTTTCGAGAAGGATTTGATTGGTTCAAAAATGTTACCATTAGCACTATGCTTCAAGGGCTTTTTATGCCCGTGTCAATAAGTGATGAAACATCTTTTCAGCAGGAGTGCATATTTTTGGCCTTCCTTCTTTATTTTTGAGACATAATAAAAGACAAGGTTCCGGAGAGTGAATAGGACACCAATTAATTATACAGTCATTGCCAGTGTCACAAACCTTGTGATGTGAGTTAAATGTGTACCAGCGTGCATTACTCTTATGGTAAAGCTTTTGTATGAGGGATGATGAAAACACTTAATTTGATTAGGAGCCTGAGTGTTTCTCTCATTGCATTACATCCAAGTTGTAAAAGAAAGCACCTAAACTTTTCAATTTAGTGTACACAGTGTGATTAGCAACTGAGGAACAAGTTGTGAACCAACCTGATAGATAGGTAGACAAATATTTAAAGAGTTATTCAGGGTCTTCTACCGCTAAAGTAGCTTTTTTCAGAGTTATGTTTTGGTAGGTTGTTTCTGGTTCACCTCTCTCCCATTTTACTTTTTTTTTTTTTTTACTGTGTCAGAGTGAAGGATGAACTCAGGTCAAGTATATCAAAATAGCAGTACCACAGTGTAAAATGGCATGCATGCAGATGTTGGTAAAAGTGTACAGCCGCTTTATATACAAAGCACTTTTTATACAAATGCACTAAATGTGCATATGATTTATAAATGTCAAATTTGATTGTTCATACAATACATGAATATGCGCATCATTTTGTTTACAGTGGATCAAATATAAAACCACTTTACCTTTCCAGCTGAAAAGCTTTGCATTTAATCCCATAATCTGGACTTTATTGACTATGTTTATGAATGATTTTTCTGTATCACTTAATCTCTGCCTGCAAAAAAAAAAAAAAAAAAAAAGAATCATATGCTTGATGTCAGTTTTGTCATATCACATTACAACGTTACCCACTGTAATGTAAGGGGGTTAAAATATAATTACAGAAGATGTCAATGTCCAATGAAACATCACTTTTCACTTTCCACCTTTTCAGTGTTTTAAAATCTTAAAAGAGAGCTCTGTAAAGTTTCATTTCTCAGCTCCTACAAACACCCCAGATATTCACTACAGTTTAGTGAGCGCACCAATGACTGAAATGATAAAGTTAAACATGTGTTTCTTTGCTTTAAATGCAGAGGAGATTCAGACTGGTTTTGTTGCTGTCTCCTTTCCAACCATGCATAAATCAGTCATCACCGCTGCCTCTGTCTCTCAGTCTGATTATGATGCTAATATCATCACCCTAGACAAAGAAACAATCACAGCGGACAGAAATGACACACGTAGCGTTCTCCCTTACAAAAGCAGGAGTGCATATTGTTTTATTTCAGATACAAGACTGTGAGGCTGAGGGGGATGCCTACAGAGAGGTTGCTCTGGTCTGCTAACGTGATCACCTGAATTATGCACAATCCATTGTGTTCAAATATCATAAATTGATGCATGAACATACCACCCCCTGTCCAACATGGGCTGAAATTAGTATTTATGTGGCTGCAAAGCTGCAGAGAGACAATTAGTCATATTTGAATGCTGAAATTAATTGAGAGAGATGTGGGAGATAAAGAGGGAGAACAAAGACAGCTTTTTGTCACTTCTCTCCATCTGACAGGGATAATTAGATATATGAAATTGAAATTCCTCTCCAGGGGGTCCTGTTGACAACACTATTTTGTGTTTCGTTCCTCTCCCCCTCTTATCTTTTGTGTTCCTGTTTATGCTAATTTGGACCCTATGTTTTTCCCTGACCACTAAAAGCAGCATCTCTCCAGTCTTCTGCTTCCATTCACTGCACAGCAGAGTGGAGCCTGTCAGACTATTGAAGCCACCCTTACCTGCATGACAAGAGTTTCACGAGGGGATAAAATATTTCACACCATGGCTAAAAGTGCCTTTTTTATGAAGGCCGACAGACCTTTAAAACTAAAGAGAGCAACAAGTGTTAAATTGAAAACAAAAAACACTCCAAGCAATGCAGTCAATTTAAATAAAAGCATAAAATGAATAATTCAAAGGTGCGATAAACTGGGCACAGCAACAGATGTTTAGATAAACCTGATTTATCAGTTGGAGAAACTTGATTGAAAATGTTGTTTGCTAGAATCCAGTCTTACAGCCGACACATTTCTATATCTATCAAAGTACATTCATTTCACTTTATCCCTCAAAGAATCAAAGAAATATCCAAAACCTTAGAGCTCAACAAATGGATGAGGTCAGTCAAACATCAATTACTGCTCACAAAATTGAACACGCCCCCTTTTCGTCTATGGAAAGAGATTGGGGTAAAAAAGAAAGTCCTTTTTCAGTCAGGGACTGGCAACATAACATGAGAAAAACTTTATCTTTTAAAGGGTTACCTTGAGTCACCAAACTGGATGAAGACCTCATCTTGTGACCAGAGGTGTCATCTGTTATCTGTTTTAACATACTTCATGTGTATATTTGAATGGTGTTACCTGACGTAAGTTATCACTTCTAAATGGATTTTCATTGTTATGTCCAGCTCCATACAGGGCTGCACTGTAACACAGCCCACTACAACAGGCTAGGTCTGTCACTGGATTTTTCACAAAGCCAAGGTGGGTAAGTCACAGCGACTCCTTACTCAAATCTCGTGTATCTCGTTTATGAAGTGAGTGAGTACTACACCAAAGGTACTTGCTTCAAAATGAACATAAAATGTTTGCTAGACTCATCTGTTGAATTGCCAAAAACACAGGAGTTTCCATTTACTTCCAGTCAATTCAGATCGACTGCTTTCACCAAAAAGGGGGCAGGCCTGCAACTTTAAGTCATAGAGAAACTGAAATGGAAAGAATAACCCAAGATAGTGTTCATCAGCACCTACTGAGTACCAAGTGAGTTTTCTTTGGAGAAGAGAAGGGCTGTAGGGAATTTTCTTTAAATGAATATGAAGAGAGAGAAACATGTCCATATCTCTGATGTACATAGACATGTATTTACTGGAACATTCACACATATTTACCTTAGCAGACCTCTAGCTTCCATCATCTTGGTACCATTATGTGTAATTTATACCTGTGATTCAGCTCGTAAAGATTTATACCGGTATTAAATGTGATCCATTGCTCATCACATAAACAGGTAGATAACTCAAGTTGAGGTGAGCTTAGCCGCTGCTACACCCGAACATCTCTCTCCCATCTTTACATAAATCCTTTCAGGGCTTCTGGCAGCAGTTTCCTGCTCTTTCATCTGGCTCCCTTGTGGTAGGACTATTAGCCCGGCCTGTATACCTGCAAGTGTTTGGGAGGCAGCTGGCTCTGGACGCTCAGTGCCTGCACGGGCCCAGGGGCTGCTGGGACCTGGGAACGCTGGCACCAAATACCGATGGGTAATTAGACCTTCATTCAAGAGCAAATGTGGCAAGCATTAGACACAAGGCTTTTTCCGGTTCAATTCATATCTCCATCCTGCCTTACTTCCCCTGCTCCATCTTCACCGTTTCCTCTTTTTTTCCTCAAAATAGACAATTCCTAATCTCAGGCCGGAATCTTGAAGACATGAGATGTGACAATTTAGAACAAAGATCTTTTTTGTTGTCCTTTTGGAGATATCAGACGGTTCATTAGAACAAAATGAGACATTTTGAAAACTAAAAAAAAAACATTCAAAACAGCAACGATACACACTTTTTGCTTTAACTGCTTCAGAAACAGATTAATTAACATCTCATTTTTATCATTATTATTGTTGGATTCCTAGTTTGAGCTCCTCAAATGGTTTATTTCTATAAAATGGCAGCACTGCACTGAAAAATTTAAAAAGAAATCTGCCATGAAAGACACAAGTACCATCATCTCTTTCAATACACACACACACACATTCAGCTGAAGTGCAGAATAATAACCTCCCCACTCTAAAACATTCATGAAAATTGGTACAGTGTGCACTTCTCAACAGAGTCAGGTACACGAGTGTCTCAACATGATCTGAATACATTTTTATGGCTCAGCTGATCTCATGCTTTGTGGCACTTTGTCTCTCTGAGTTGTGAGAAACATGACAGTGGCTGTTTCTCATGTAAGAGGAAAACTATGAGAGGCCCCTTCTAGTTTTGTGGTGAAAGGTGACATAACCCATAATTCCACTCAAACCACAGTGTGCTTTTATCAGATGTTCCTCTTTGATTCTGTCAGCGTGGTTCACATGAGACAAAACAGTCAAAAGACTGAAATCTGGATCATCAAAGAAACAAGACAATAAAGATATAAAATAAATGTGTGATATGTTTGGATTGATCATTTAAAAAATAGATGTCAGAGTATATGTTTTTTTTCATTTATTCATTTATTTTTGCAGCAATTTCATTAAAAATATATATTTCTTGAAGAATCTTACAGCAAAATGAGATCTGTATGGCTAACAAGCCAGCTGGCATTAAAAATCACAATAGATCGGAACAATCCAATCATGTACTTTGCCTTTAATGGCTTTAGGAGAAATCTGGGAAATGGGAAATGTATTTTTCAGAGTCAGCAGACCTACAAAAATAAAATGCTTTCAAAAAGTTTGAGGAAACTGAAAGCACAGGGACTGGCATATCCAGACTTTCAGTCTAAAGATCACGTGAGTTTACAGAAATAGTTGATCCTACATTTCCCACAGTGCCCTTTATTTAGGCACCACCAACAACAAATCTGTGTATTATGAATTAAACTCCCTGTTATATTCTCCAGCACTCGTTTGCAACAGCATTGGGTAACTTCAAATGTAGTTTGAAATGGGTCGATGCAGTTTAGATGCAGTCTACGCTCCACTAACATGTTAAGTGGCAGAGACAGCGCCAACATCAGCGTCATTTCCAACTTGAATCTTAAACTGAGCTCTGCGTTGGTGTAAAGACTCGTGTAAAAAAAACTTGTTGTCATGGCACAGTTTTTAAAGAATGGAATAACTTGGAGACGGACAAGCAAAGGTCTTATGGACAACTGTGAGTCGTCTGCATACACTGGTAGATAAAATGGAGGCCACAAGTTTTCAATTACTATGAAACTATAAACTTTAAAGCTCCCCCTGCTGACTGGCTGCATTATGAGTTATAAACAATGCGTCCAAATGGAGACCATGAGATTAAAAATAGTAAAAATAAACTGATATTGCTTATTCAATATGCAGTTGATGATTCTCTGAGATAGATTGCATTAATAAAAAGTTGCTGTTAGTTTGCCAGTGGGATAGTTGACATAATGGTCCATTCTTTCACCTAAATCTGTACAGTGCAACCCAACAATGAAACAACAAAAAATCACAAACCAACCACTTTGAACATATTTTTTTGTTGTGGACCAGCAGCCATGAAACCAGCTTCTGAAACTCTTTGTTTTGGTTCTTTTTTTCAGCGATATAAAGTTAGACACACCAGGTGGGTGATTCTTTTCACACAGCTTTGTAGTCGCAGTCATGTGCCGACCCGCCGTCAGTTGCGCCTTTGCATGAAAGACCAGCTGTAAGCATCCCCTCAAGCTACTGGTAGCTATTGTTAATTTGCTGCTATTATAATGTGATTTATAGTCTGTGTTTTCAAGTCTTCATGAAGGTTTTTTTACAGACAGCACAGCTCCAGATCCAACAGATTGCAGTGCAGAAGAAAAAGATCTCCATGAAATGGATTTTCTTGGCGAAGGAAAATCAGAAAGAGGGTTGGCACATCTTTGAAAGAGTTGCGGGGCAGAAGGCTTTGAGCATGTTAAATACTCCAATCATGACGCGTATACCTGCATCAAGTATTATTCCGATTAGAAGCATTTGGACATGGGCAGAGTTGTCTAATTTTGCCAAAACAACTGCAGAAGAAGAGTTGTATTTACGCCTGTGCTTTCAACCAACCAACAAACGCAGTAGTGGTTCACTCCATCCAATTCAGGAGTTTTCCCCTGTTAAATGTTGTCACTAGATGACACCCTTGCTTACTTATTTGACTGTTCTGTCAGAGGTTGCACTGTGTCTGTAGATGTGACATCATTACGCTGTATGTACGCCTTGTTCTGTTACCGCAGGAGCAGACACGGCATCTGCGGTTGTGTTTTATACCAGAGTGTTAACCTCAATAAATAAGCCAAAGGCCAAAGAGTGAGGACCAAGTAAGGTTAGTTTTGCCCCAACAGAGAGTAACGATTGGAATAAGTGTTCACATGGACACGTTTCGGAATAACAATTGGCATAAACCACCCTACCTAATCGGAATACAATTCCCATCCGATTGAGCCGAATTGAATCATAATCTTCCAATCGACATGTTGACGTGATGCTTTTTTATTCCGACCAGGCCTTTATTCCGATTATTTGTGCCCATGTACACACAGCTATTGTCTTATTAGGATGACAGAGCCTGAGGAAAGGTTCAGGCCAAAGCTCACTAAGTATAGTTCAGATGACAAATCCAACATGCATTTATTTCATGTTTTGAAACTTTGAGGGTCAAATTAAGACATCAAACTTAGTAACATTACGTGTATGTATTAATAAGTCTCCTCTGAGAGACAACTTATCCAGAACTGGTGCAACAGGCCACAGCTATCACGCCCACGCCAAGGTTACTTAGATGACATCATGTGTAATCTTTCAAACTTTGGGGAAGCCCCATCTAAAAGAAGTTTAAGCAAACATTTTACAACTCTCTCTACAGAATTTATAGGACTACTTTTGATATGTAAGCTAACTCTCTGGTGCTAAAACATCGAAGTACCCTCTTGTCTCATGGCTTCAACATAAACACAGACATCATGTTTGCATTTGTTGGTGTACCTTCGTGAGGATCATCTCTTTGTAATTTCTAAATATAAACACACACGCTATGCCTCTCTCTGCCAGGTCATAGCGTAACGTCTGAGCAGAAGGAAAGTGACTAATCATCTATCTGTGTGGGATGTGCTTTCCTTGAAAGGGTCCAACAGGGTGGGACGGGAACATCCCCAATCGTGACAACTCCAGATCCATCCTGAGGAACAGGAATTCCCACAAGCTGGATAAACACGCAGCTTGGTGGGGGGATGTAAGGCTTGATAGTTACGCACTCTCATCTTTGAACTTGGAAGTTGTCAGGATTTGGTCATATCTTAAAGGAATGCACTATCACGTACATTCAGTGTGTGTTACAGTTTTGATGTAGCTATGGCATTAGTCCCTCTACTCCTGAGGATTTCTGTTGGATGATCCCTTAGTTTGAAGCTGACTATGCTGCAGACATTAAGTGAACAGACTTGAAATATCTATTTGGTAGCATGATATGTCCCATAAGGATTCAAAAGAGGAAAATGGGGTGGGGCCAGACATTTTACATCCTCCAGTTTTACTTCAGCTTGCATTCATGGATCGTGTTTGTCACTTTTTGATTGCTCAGGAAGGACAGAAATAACAATGGCCAGAGAGGACAACATATAGCAGCTTTTGTCCACAAAATGGTGTCTTAATAGATTAAATCAGAAACACCAATAAACATAGGGTTAAAATTTACATCTACGCATGTGAACTTTGGTTTCCTTTTGTATTTTTTTTGTATTTTTGTTTCTTTACACTCTGTATGTCTTTGTGTCTGGTGCAAATGGCACTAACCACATATTTCTTTCAGCGTTACAGTATCTCTTGTGTGTACTTTGGCGTCTATCTCACGGCGAGTGCTCTCTAAACTTCACATATACACATCAGCATTTGTGTTTTCACATGTAATTACTGTGAATCAACTCTTTGTGCATGGCTGCGGTCATAAAACAAGAGAGAAAGAACATCGTTATGCTAGTGGGGCACCTCACTAAAACGCTCCAGTGACAGAAAATGAAAAGCAGTAATTCCTCCGGTGAAGTGAAGTCTGACTTGTCGGAGTAAAGCACTTCCTATCCTTTTGTTCGGATCTCAAAGGGAATTATGGGGGGAGAGGGTTAGATATGGCTGTTAATAAGACCACCGAGCCCTGACCAGATGAACGTCTAAGTGATTTAGACCATGACAGTTGTATTAAAGAAAGAAAACCACGTTACTTTAATCTGGATATTCATATTTTAGACAAGAGAGGGCATGAAAACCTGAACATTTCTTGTTTATAATAATTCAAGCAGCAGAGTTTGTTTAGTTTCTTTGAATTTGGTTAAACTTAGAAATTAAAAATAAATCAAAGTTTTGTTTCCATCCAATCAGGACTCACCGTCTCCTACCCGAAGAATTTCCTTCATCTATAGATAGAGGTACCTTTTATGCAGAACTGGTGTAATCAGCTCACATATTGATAAGCAAAGAGCAAGCAAAGACCTGGGCGAGGTAAAGGGTGAGCTGTGGAGGTAATGTTGGGAGGGGGGGTGAGTGTGCATGGAGATCAATGGGCTAATAAAACAAATCAATGGAATGAAACCACAGAAAAAAGTGAAGTCATTAATTTGCAGAGACAGGATGATCCCACCAACCACATGCATTGATTAGAAATGAGGTCTGTGGAGAACCTTCAGGGGGTATCATATTAGTGAAGGGAAGCAATGGCACTGGTGGAGAGGTGTAGGGTGGGGGTGGCTTTTCTCTGAGGCTTTGCTGCTGTACTGATGCCGAAGAATAGGTTAACTGGTGGATCAATGGCCTCTTCGGCATAACTCTGAGGAGACAGCGGCTCTGTGTTTGCTCTCTGATGCACCGTCAACACAATATCTGCAGGTGTGATGTTTTCTCTCTGCTTATGAGCGCGGTCACATTGATTTTCCCTCCTATCTTTCTCCAAGCCAAGTGTACTCAAGCATGATTATGATATTGAATACATCATAGAGTACAAAGAGGTCTGCAAATAAGGTCAAAGGTGAGGGCTAATGTTCCATTTTTATCAATATAATTATTGTTAATCATGATTTGTAATCAATAATATCGGGTTGGTCCTCTTACAAGGAGCAAGAGTGTTGTTAGAGGTAAAGTGTGCAGGTTTGATATGTTGGGTTGAAACAAGCATAAATTAAAAGGGATCATGTTTTGTGAGTATCTTTTTTGCATCCACACGGTTCACTCTCCTTGAGAACATTGAGCAAATTTTATGCGTAAATGTCATTTATGAGAAAATATTTAGTCTAATCTCCAAGCTTGTTTATTTTTTATCACCAAAGCCGAAGTTCTTCTACGGTCAGGGTTCATCCGATCTGCAGACACAGCATAGCTTTTCTGCAGCCATTTTCTTGAGGGGGGGTGGTTGAGGGGGAGAAAAGCAGGTGATGTGAGATTGACGACTTAAATACTTCATCAATCAATGCTGCAGCCAATGTGTTGTTTGGTGATTGGTGGAGAATTCAGGCAATCCATCTTTCCTACCGGCAACTGGCATTCAAGATTCTCCTCAGGTTCTCCATGCAATGCTTTTATTTCTTTATTTCCAGGGTTAACCTATGCTTCACATATTTGTGTGTGTGGGTGTGGGGGTGGGGGTGGGGGTCCACTCTAACCCTTCACCTGTGATTAGAGTCTGTTTGACATGTATGCTGCAGCAAAAGCTGCTCAGCACACGAGCAGGCTCAGTCAATTTACTATCAGTACCCCACACATAATAAAACATGAAACATAATTGAAGCTGTTAATATAAATACTGTAATTATGTTTTAATAAATTCATAGTTTAGAAAACATGCAATGATGACAGTTGTTGGGTTCTGGTGGGAAATCAGTTTTATGCTTCATTTTACACTGAGCCAGAAGACTGAGGTCCAATATAGGACATAAGTGCAGTGATTTACTGGAACAGGAGTTTGTATGATGATAGATGGGTTGCAGAAAATGAGGAAACATTTGTTTTTAGGTTGATATCAGAGAAGAATCAGACCTGGCAAAAATATTTACACACATTTAAAAATGGTGAAATATCTAAGAGAACAAAACTATAGTCATTTTTTCCATGTAAGCACTTCACAAGGTGTCACAAATGTAGTTTCAAGTTTGTTGTTGTCATCATTTTGAGACTAAATATGTTCCTAGAATAACTTTTCACGGTGTATACAGCCAAATGGCACTCATCAGGGATTTTTAGCAGAACATGACATTTTCATGCAATAGCATTTAAAGCTGGAGAGTGGTGTGTGTTGGACTGACTCAGAATAAATTATGTTTTTGTTCATAGTTATTAACAAAGTTATTTCAGACAGTAGTTAAGCTCCATGACTCAGAGGAATGTCAGGCCTTGGCTGACATGAAAATGAAAAGCTTCTATTCACAGTTTGTCTCAGTGTAGTGGTATTATTACTGAAACATTCTTCCTCACCCGTTCATTTCACCCTTTGCTATGTTGATTTTTAATAAGTTTAAACGTCAGAAAAAGATGTAACCTATTTTGTAGCTGCATGCATGTCAAATATTTGCAGCAGTTTTCAGCTGGTTTAGCTGAAGCCTATTAATGTGATGACAAATGAATGTTGCATTGATAACGTACAAACTGGCTTTACTATTTTTATCTTTACTGGCAGTTTTGGCTGCTTACTGTTTTGAGATTTTGCCACTTTTACTTCTTACCGCAGTTCTTTCTTTCTTTTATGGTATGATTACATTCAAGATTTTTTGGTCCTCTTTTTTTTTTTTTTTCGTAATATCCAGTGGGCCGTCAAGTTGTTTGTGCAAAACCAGAGAAGACAATGCAGGGATTTTCATAATGTCTAAATTACATCACATTAGCAAGGTGCATAATGCAGTGCTGCAAGGTTAAAGCTTGAACGTTTCAACATATTAAGTGCAAAAGAAAAAAAAAACACGTACAGATCAAACAGTGTACTAGCTAAACTATACTTAATTATATGTAACATCTTGTTTTTGTTATTTTTTATTTTTTTATAATTAATCCAGAGATTCTTCAGCCTCATTGTGAATTAAGGTATATCAACTAGACAATATATATATATATACATATATATATATGTATATACACATATATAAATACATATATATACACATATATAAATACATATATATACATACATACTTTCTTTTATATGACAAAGATGCCCGCTAACCCTGGTCTGTATACATTCATGGACTCATTTATGTCTCCATCTTCATGTGGTTAGAGTAATAGTGAGGCCCCTGAGGTTTAGCTTAATTAAAATACATCCTTTTTGTGTTCCCCTTGGAGGGGCTGATAGAATAACTGTGCAATGGGGTTAGCTGTATTTAGCTCCTTGAGGAGTTAGCCTGTGTTGTGTCAGGCAGCCACTCACAGCTAAATCAACAAAACGCTGCAGAGAGAGAGAGAGAGACATAGGGAGAGAGACAGCAAGGCAACAGAGGAGTGGGGAAAAAAAGGGTTGGGGTAAGTGTAGGTATAAGTGTGGGGGATCCCACATCGTGTGTAAACCCTCAGCTTTTTACACTGAGCGGCGTTTTCATGCTAAGCTCAGAGCTTGAACTGAAATCCTCTCCCTTATCTTTAAATCCAAGATGAAACACTGTCAGATGTAGTGTGATCCGGGGAATTTGGTGGATGACTGACAGACGAGGCGAAGAAAGGTATGAGCGACTGATGCAGAGCGGGTCGAGTGTGTGCATGTGTGTGCATGTGTGTGGTGGAGGAGGAGGAGGGTGGTGAGAGTGGAAGGCACTGTGAGGGGAGGAGATTGAATACAATGATTTGTCAGAGGCACAGGAGTGACTCATGTCAGTTTGATGCCTGGAAGGACACAGCAGAGGATAAACCACTGAGCTGTACTGTACTTTTAACTGAATGCAAAAAGTTTTGCACATTCAAAAAAAGGTAATTTCATAATGAATTCAAGAATAAAACGTCTAAGTCTTCTTTTTGATGCATCTTTATGTTTAATTTAGAAAAATGTATACAGTGCACGGAGGGGTTTGCATTCTCTTACATGGACTCTGGGATGTGTCTATGTCCTGCAGCCACATGTTTTATATGTGTGCTGTTGGGGTGATATTTCGGGGGCGTGTATGTCCCTCATCTCTGAATAGCTCTAAGGCACAAGCAGGAAATGGAGTCCTGGCATTTTGTTTTGCACCAGTGCTCCTCTTTATTAGAGAGGAACAAAATCGGCATAGAATAATAATTGGAAAATTGTAAGCTTGCTTTCATTATAATTAGCGAGATCGCAGGATGCAATAATCCAATTATTTTACTTAAAAGCAAGTTTCCTCATCCCTCTGCAATGTGTTGCAGGATGTGTAACCTCATCCCACACGGACAAACTCTCTTCATCCCCCTCTTACATGTAAACACCAGCATGCTTGAGTGTGCCCAGACAGCTGAACATACACTGACATATGAACACCATTTAGGCCCAGCAGACACTCACATAAACACACACTCACACGTACACCTCAACAACATACAAATAATTGAGTAAGATTTGCTGCTACATTAAGTTTAATGTGTTTGACATTCGTGCAGGGGGGAAATGGTAGGCATGATGTGGAGTAGCCGGGCCGCGGCTTTCTTCAATCAGGGCACTGCAGGGCTTCGCTTTACAACCTCCATGCAAACCTGGGCCCGTCAGAGCTAATTAGCGCTGTTGCAAATGGATGCAGGTCATGGCTCTCAGCGGATTGGTCGGTGCTGAGGTCGCCAAGGGTCAAGCCTCCAGTATGGAATGATATAAACAATCATCTATGGACCACAAACCAATCAATCCCTTTTAACACTACCCAGTTGCTGGTTGGTTGCTCCCAGGGGTCAGAGGTCATGGTACAAAAAGACAACTGAGGAGGTTGGTTTGGGAGCTTCATGCATATTCTACTGCTTATCAATTTATTTATCTTTACCAATCAATATCCCTGCAAACTATCAAAGTGAAGTAATTAATTCTTTAATATGATCTATGCAGGAATTCTTTCTTTGCCTTCTGATTAAATAATTTAAACTTAATATGTTTTTAAAAAATATTCATTTTGAAGTGTTTTCTTAACATTTAACAACAGAAGTTATGTGAGACGCTAAATAAGCTCTTGATTCATGATTCTTTTTTAAAAAATCGCAATAAATTAGAATAAACTCTCTTAGTTTTCCACTTCAAAATCATACATCAGTGTGTTTTCCTGCACGCCGAACAAAACCTCTTCAACATCAACATGAAGTTCTGCAATTAGCCGAGCAGAAAAGAAAGGACAGAAAGACTGAGAGACGGGGGGAAGATGAGGAGAAGGAGGAGGGAGGCTGGAGAGAAAGATGGAAACCAACGCTTGAGGAATTGAATTACCGAGGCCTTTTCTCATTATCATTTAGCCGTCTTTTATAGCCCACCAGTAAGAGATGATGTTCCCATGACCCCGCACAATACACAGACATATTACTCAATCCTGCCTCGATGAAATTCCTGCAAATAAAACCTTTGTGCCGGGCAACAGCTAATTATTTGACAGATTGGCCCCCTTCTGGCTCAGGTTACAGTGTGGAGTGGCCATGTTTTAGACCCCCACACCAAACCCACACCACCAGCACTCCCCCCACCCCCCCAGCCCCAGTGCAAAGAGGGGCCACTTTGAGAAAATCCCAGAGGGCCTCATTCTTTTCAGGAGATTATATATTTCAGCCCCCCCTCCCTCCTCCTCCTCACCCTTCCTCCTCGTCCAAGCATCTATCCATCCAAAATCAGGGGAGCGTGGTGTATATGTGTGTGTGCATGTGTGTCTACAGGGGGGGGTCCTGTGTGTTAGTGACAGCAGTCATTTCATAGTTTAAAGGGAGTTCTCAAGCAGAAATATTTAATCTTCCCACGCAATAAAAGTTGGATGGTGTAAGAGTGGTGCAGAGAGAGAAAGACAAGGAGAGGGAGAAGATTGAAAACAAACACGTCAGATATGCTGTGCTCCTCTGTATTGACGTTTCCCCAAAGAACTACCTTTACATGCAGTGTATTTTTTACGTAATGCCAAAGAAGAGACTCAGGGACATTAACGGATTAGAGCTTTGGGTGGGCATGCCTTTGGCTGAGATTCAGTCCACTAATAACAAGAGCTTGTCATTAGTGCTCGGACATGGACCACCAAGATAAATGCCAACACATGTTTGAATTATCTGGAGAGTAATGGCATTTTCCTTCAGCCCTTTCCCTCCCCATAAAAATCCTAGTTGACTGACTATGTGGACATTTTGACTTATTAGTGCAGGTTTAATCTGTTGCTTATTTTGCAGCTGTGCAGGTGGTATAATTCATGAAGAAATAGGTGTTAGGAGAGGGTGAAACTAAACAACTAATTGAAATAATGGAGAGGAACTTGACAGAAGAACAATGGACTTTGACTAATGTGCTTTTAGAGCCTCAGCGTAAGTTAAATAACAGTCAGTTACGTTGGACTTTCTATGGATCGTTATATATTAATCCTACTATATAAATTTGTCAGAAAATGTCTGCTTTCTACAATCCCAGAAGTTGGGATGATACATAAGTGACAATATGTTGGAACCATAGACTGTACTATGGACAAGTCGAGATTCACTATGATGCAATGGCTTAAACAGCGTATCCCCCGGGTGAGCTACGCAATCTTTACATGCCTATTGGTTGTATCAAGTGTCAATCATAGAAAACATGAACCCCCTAATACTTGAAAAAAAATGGAGCTGTACAGAAAAAGAGGACTTGAGCACAAACCAGTCTTACAGTAACTACATGTCAATATTACAACCACAGGGGAGAGACATTTATATTCTGTGTAATTGATTTCTAAAGTTTGTCCACAGCTTCATAGGGATTGCTGGAGGAGGCGGGATTTATGACCTATACTGCAGCCCGTCACCAGAGGGTGCTGTTCTCGTGGTGGCTTCACCCAAAAAGGAGGCAGACAATGTCTTTGGTTGGAACCAAGAAATGTGATTGAAAGTTTTAAAAAGAAGTTGTAACAGCATATCTTTCTAAATTATTCTCTTGTTTGGAAATTTGGAAGACCCATTTCTGGAGTTTTGAAAGCAACATGTTGTCCTATTCTTGGTTGGAAAAGGATTTCAGGCGCTCAAGAGTCAGAGTCCTTTTTTGTAGATAACGTATCAGATACTTTTGTGTTTTTTTAATGCTTTTGTTTTCTGGACTGCAGGCAGACCTGTTTAGCACCCACATTTGTTTATCCTGTAAGTGTTGTTCAGCATTAATGGTATCTTCCCAGATGTGTTGCTTACCGTGTCAAAGACACCCTCACAGATGCTAGATTTTGAACTGCGCACTGCTAACAAGCTAGGTGGTTCCTCTTTTCTCTAGAGTTGAAGCCTCCATGATTTCAAAAAGAGTGAAAATTGGTCAGACTGCAGGGCAGGTGTTCTCTTTGCCTCTTGAAAGGCTCTGGCCTAGTCACCTGCATTTCTGGGATGGGTTTTTATTTTCTCTGTGCATGGTACAGATTTGGCGTATGCACATTTGTAGATATAGCAACAACAGATAATGATTTTTGGTTGAGATTTTGGGCCTATGCTGTGTTTTCCACCAGAATCATGTCTGGTTTTAATGGAGTGTTGCCTGGGGGCCCTAAGATCTTGGCCATCAATGTGTTGTTTTTTTTTTTTTAGCCTTGGCCCTTTTGTAGAAAGATTTACCTAAATCTTTTAATAACGTCATGGATTGTAAACGGTAAAATCCCCCAATCCTTGCTGAGGAACATTATTCTGAATTTGTTGAAGTATTTGCTCACACAGACTGTCACAGAATAATGACCTTCCTTACACCTTTACTTCAGATAACACAGCCTTTCTGGACTGCTCTGTACAAACCCAGTCACGTTTTAATAGTTTATCACTTTCCCGTTTCATTGTCACTATCCAAACTTTTCTGAAGTGTGTTGCTAAGCATACATTTTTAATAAAATAGACCTGTTGTCTTTGCACTTTCTTCAATTAAATATGTTTTATATGATTCACAAACATGATCAACCTTTTTCTGAAATTGAGGTTGTATATACCAATAAACAGTATATCGGTATAATATTGACTAAGACTCCATTTGTAGCTTCCTTTTTTTAGAAACTGATTACTTTTCATTTATATATTTATTTATTTGTGGTCCTGACAAGCTGGTCAAACTAAAACTAAAACTAAAAGTATTTATTGATAGTTTGAGTCCTGGCAGAACCCACTGTAAAAACCACAAACCTTTTGCTTGTAACCAAAGGGAACTAAAAGAAGGAACTGTAACTGGTTGGTGTGTGAGGCGTTTCTGCAACAGCGATATTGAAAATCATCATAGCTTTCTATAATTAAGGGAATAGTATCTTATGATGGGGATATAAAAAAAGTGAAAGAAGAAGTTGATTTACTGTAAAGACAATGCACAGGACAAAATGTGTCACGCATGGCAATTCTCATCACAAAAAAGAAAGAATCTGTGAATTTTGTTTTCCTACCAAATCATTGCAAAAGCACATGTTCTTCTTTCAGAGCAGTGAGAACTGTTCAGTGTTCGGTTTTGGTTTGTCTTAAAACATGCATAAGATATTTTTAATAGCTAACATTTACAGGAAGTGACTAAACAACTTAATGCAATCCAGCACATTAACAAATGGTTGCCCTGCTCTTGTGTGCATATGCATGGATTGTCTGATGGCCCTCTGCAGGTATGAAAAAATACTGCCACCTGTTCCCCTTTTAGATTAGAAAACTTAGAGAGAAATTGTCTTGATAAAAAAGTTACCTATTTAGTCTTTGTAGTTTTACTCTACCTACTGTGTGTCTGCAGCCGCCACTTGCCTACCAGGCTCTGGTTGCATATCTGGGATGCACGGCTACTGTGTTCACCTGGCATGAACCCAAGCGAGCAGAGCCTGGAGTATTCATTGCTCAACCTGGGTGAAGGTCATAGAAAGCAACTCTCTCCCTGCTCCACTCCCCAATGAGCAAACATATGGTCATGGAGCACCTTGAACATGTTTGGGTGACCACAACTACTTGGCCTGAGCTGCTGTAGTAAAAGAGACAGAGGCGCTGAAGGAGGTTTAGGCTAACCTTGCTAAAGCAGAACAAGGATAAGGAGGGAGAAGTAGGCTGCAAACCACAGAGATCATCACTCACTAGTTGCACACACAGGAAAACCCATGTGAAGTCCAAAAAAGTGGCTGAGAAAAGCTGCAGACTTCTCAGCTCGCCTCTTCTCTTGTTTCTGTTGATATAAATGTGTGTAATCATAAGGTACAATATCATCACCCCCTTGTTCAAACAGCCAAACCTCGTCTAATCGCTTCCATGTTTCCTCAGTGTTAAGCTCATTAGTGGGTGACCTAAAGGCATGCAGGGAAAAAAAAAAAGGCAAAAAAAAATCTTTGGATAATGGATGCTTGCTGTTTTGAGACAGTAAAAATAAACAGGTCTGCGGCTTTGATAATGAATATGCTGTAAACATCAGCCCAGAGTGTGAGTATATCACAAACGTCCAGCTAATAACCCCTCTGTGTGTATGTGCATTTTTATATGCGGGTGTACGCCTGTGTGTCATTGTGGGTATTTGTCTTTGGGCCGGCTGAGGGACGAAGGTGACGGGGTCGGTGCTGAAGATGATGACTCGCCGTCAGACTTTGTGAATGGGACGTGTGAGTGTCTCTAGTGTCTGAGTGTCTGGCCCAGGTGGCGACTAGAAGGCCGACTTCATTAGCCTTAAAGAGGAAACAAAGGAAGATGCATCGTAAAAAAGTGCCATCCCTCATCTGTGAGGCCACCGCCTGACACATTAGGAATCTGTATGCTCAATTAACCACTGGCAGGCTCATTTTTCCTCTCTCTCTCTCTCTTTCTCTCTCTCTCCATCTCTCTCCCACTCTCTCTCTCCCGCACTCTTGATCAAACAGAGCAATCACGCTGGATTGAAGCAAGACTTAATACACGGCATGCGTAGGAAGCTGCAAACATTTTAGTAGTGCTTGATCTGCAGAAAGTTGCAGTTTGAACTTGCAGGTTTTTACATGTGGACCACTGTGGAGGGTGGTTGTCAATCGAGCAGCTGCAGAATCAGCCCTGTTTTTACTGTCCCTACACAAAATATTCACCATAAATCAAACATTTGAGCACCAAAACTCAACAGAATGACATTATTTTGTTAAAACAAGAGAAGCATAGACTGCCACGTCCACAGGGGGCACCAAAGTTTACACAAACCTTAAGTTTCCCACAAGAGCTTTAATTTACTTCTGTTCCTATTTGAACGAAGAAAAGCTTGATTACTTTGAATAATCTCTTAAAACTACCTCCATATTCATTTACAGAGAGAAGAGGATAATCAAGCACCCTGGAAGAAAAGGACACTGCTCAACGAAGACAGACCAATCTCAAAGTCCATCACGTGAGTGCTTTTAGTAAAAGTTTTTATTCAAACCAATAATTTAATTTAAATTTAATTGAAAAGGTGTGTAACAATAAAGTCATCTTATTGGCCCAAGACAACAGCTTTCTTATTTACAGTAGTACAGGTTTCCTGTTCTTTTGTAAGCTTCCTCCATGTAAATACAAATGTTTCCCAAAAGTCCAACATCCAGAAATTGTCCCTCCTTTTCAAAATCAAAGAACTACATTACCCACAGTGCAATCTGGTGATCAGATTATGCAGAGGTCAGTCCGCATATTCTACCTAAGGGTCTGAATCTCACCTAAAGAAGACAATCTAATTAGTTTTTAATCCTTGATGGCGATGACTATTCAAGAACAATTATGGTTCAATTGTAGTTTGATTTGGCAGACCCTCCAGGACCTGTCAATCTCTAAAATGGTCGTTTTATCCAGCGTAGTGTGTCATACTGAACTATAATCAAGGCCACATCTGGGAAACCTCCTGACAAAAAAGTCTAGTGTGTCTGATTCTCCCTCTACAATGTGCTGTGTCTCATCAATGGCGTTGACCGATGAGCGCACAGCACTCAAACGAGCTAAAGAAGACAAGTAAAGCTGGCTCAGCAAGATGAAGCCATGACAGAGGAAACGTTTGTCAAGCTCTGGCAGAAACATCCCTGCCAAAATGTCCAGGGACTGTGACGGGCTTCAAAAGAGAAATTTGGTGGAAAAAACAGGTGAACTTCAGTCACCTGGTGAGTAGCTTACAATAGCATAAAGCTATCTAGTTATCATTGTGCTTGAATAGACAAACAAATGCAATATAAACACTCAGCTGATGGTTACATGTAGCCAAAGGAAAATCAGTCCCACTATTGGAAAATGACTCTTACGTTATTGTGAGATAATGCTGGGAAGCTCCATCCACTTTAGTGCACCATTTAGAGAGTGAAGTCAGGACACACCGCTCTAGTTAACCCTTTGTATTTTCTTCAGCAACATAAGAGCCATTTCACAGAACTCATTTTACATGGATGTGGTATTTACAAAAAAAGTGGACAGAAAGCAAGACATTGAAAACAGACATAAACAGTATACTAGCTTCAGCAACGCATCATGTAGGTATGCCAACCCGTCAAAGTACAAACAAACCCAATGCTAATCACGTGCAATACTCAGCTGGACACACACACACATTCAACAAACACATAGTTGACATCACTTACTTCTTCACGAACGCACAATCAAATTGAAAAGATGACTTGGTATTGATCGCTGAATTTAGTGGTATCTCTGTAATCTCCCAAGGCTTTTAGGACCCCGAAACTGCCCTATGCCTAAGCAAAAATAGGTTAAATCCTAAGGAACCCAGGCTGTCCGAACAGGTGCCTGAACAAAACTTATTTAAAATGGTTTCACACATAGAAAAAACATAGGACCTGCCCTTCTTATCTCATCTTATCTTTAGCTTAGCCCCTCTGATTGATCAGGTACATGTACGTCTGTCAGTCAAATCTGTCATTCAGCCCTTGCAAATGTACCATTTTTCGATGCAATAATCTCAAATTATGAAAAAAAGAAAAAAAAAAGAAAAATTAGTATCAGATATTTGACTTTTTTTTTTTTTAACAGGGTGGCTACCTGATGAATCGTAACCTCCCATGAACCTTCCATGAAAATGACGGAGTGGCGTAAGAACCCGGCTTAGGTGAGGTTTTGGGTTGTGTGTTAAAGTGTGTGTGTTTGTGAGTCAGTGTGTGTGTGTGTGTGTGTGTGGTGTGTGGGGTGGGGGGTGGGGTCACTGTGATACGCATCAGCCTTTGATTAACGAGGTGAGCTAGGAGCTCTTTAAAATCACAGGGGTCACGGCTTAGGAGGCCTCCATCCAACACCTCGCCACACTTCACAGGACTAACTTCTTTTTATCATCGGACACGCCCACCTTTCTCTCTCTTTCTCTGTCTTCTGTTCCTCCTCTACCTCAACCCCCTCCCCTTCAAGCCGATCTTTTGAGGTCTATCAGAGAGATGAAAAATGGCGTGCAGCTGGCCAAGTACTTCCTTCCTCTTGTCAGGTCAACAGTTCACTGTGCTGATAGAGACCCTCACACCTCCATTAATAAGAACTCCCCCTGCGCTCACACAGGTCGCTTTGCTGCATCGCTGGATGCACATCACTCCTACCTTTGTCTGGATCTCCTCTCTATCATTAGACTCCCACATATGCAGTGCATCAGTGAATATTGAGATGATGACCAAGGGCAGCTGAATTCAAACTGAATGAGTTTTGTCATTGTGAGCCTGAAAATTAAAAATACATTGCTTCAAGGTGTTGAATCTGAAATGTGTCTGTCATTTCCTTACAGTTTTAACTGTTTATTATGTAAAACTTGTGTTGAAGCACTCCTCCTCCTTTTTCAAAAACAATGCTTAATTGGCTTTTTTCAGGTTTCAAACAACAAACCAAAACTATATCAAAGATTTCAAAACAGTTAGGACACTGTATTAAAAAGAAAGGATGTCAAATTTAGACTGTTAGGTCACGGTACAGTTTTCCACGTTACCTAAGTCCATCTTAAAAGGGTCCAGGCCCACAGAAGTTGCCAGAATTTTATTGGATCATGTCTGGTTTCCACTTTGTGAGGTAAAGTTTTATCCTGCATTTGTAGATGTAGCAATAAATTGAGTCACGGACAATGGTTTTTGGAAGGGACTTCGAGCCCATGCAGTAATTTCCACTACAGAGTCATGTCTGTTTTTAATAAAAGTGTCACACAGTGGCTTGACATCGCCCAATTTTTATCCTGAAATATTTGATTGTATATACTTTTTAATTATTTTTTTCAGAGGGGTCATCCTCTTTGCAATTCCTTCACTTTCTTGGCTTTTATTTCACAGGATTAAACAGTGGACATAACAGGGAGTCAAGAGAACAACCAGAAGGTGAAACACACAAGTGCAGGAGGTGTGAGAAAGCATTACATCCATGTTTTGCTGTTACACATATATGGCTGGACACACATTTAAAACAAATGATATTTTTCATTAAGCAATATTTTTGTGTTTCAACAGTCTATTAGATGTCTTGCACTTTTTGTTATATAAAAAACTGGTTTAAAACAAGTTTTGAACATTTTGCAAAGTGTTTGAGATTTTTTTGTTTGTTTGTTTTTTTACTTCTTGTCCCAACTTGGGACAAGGAATTGGGAATGTATCCTAGTAGTTTTTACCCCAAAGAAAACGTTTAGCAACACGCTAAAGACTGTGAAAGAAGAGAATAAAGTATAAACAATGAACATATTTATGGTTTTTGAAATCTTTGTGGAGAACTGTGAGCAGCATTTTCTTAACTCCTCGCTTAAGTTGGTTTACAACCCAGTGGCCGCTGATGGGACATGTAGACTTTAGAAAAGGGAAACATCAGAAACAAAATGAATATTTTCAAACAACATCAATCCAACTTTGTTTTAAACTGTTGTATGTATTTATCGGCTGTGTATGGCAGACTAGATTGACAGCAGGGGCCAGCCGGTCAGATTTTGAGTACCTTCTAAAAAAAAAAAGGTGCTAATCATAATGCTGAGCTAGCCTCGTTGAGCTGCTAATTACCTCCATTATGAAGATGCAGAGTGCCTGATCAGAGGCGCCCCAGTGTATACGTGTGTGTGGTTGTTTGTGTGTGTGTGTGCATGTGTGTGTGTGTGTGTGTGTGTGTGTGCTAGTCTGTGCCGATTAAGTGGAGGATTAGCCGTCCATCCTGAGGAAGGAGGCAACCGGGGGGGGGCACAAGGAGAGACATGAGAAGGGGAGAGGCAGTGGGTGAGTGGGTGTCCCCCTCCTGCAGACGAGCCCTGACCTTCTCATTTCATCCTCATTAGTATCTCATGTCAACAGAGCAGCCACTCCTTAATCATCTGCTATCATCCCAGGCCTGCACACACACACACACACACACACACACACACACACACACACACACACACACACACACACACACACACACACACACACACACACACACAGATAAACATAAACATGCAAGACGGATAATTTTGCAGAGAGGGACAGACATTTTTTTTACAACTTTCCATAGTTTTAAGTTTTTTTTACGTTGAAGTTTATGATATTTTTAATAACCAGATCATTTTTAAGAACCTCACTCCTGAAGTTCAGCCCAAAACTCCATAAAGAGTGAGCAAAAAAACTCAGTCCGTTATCATTTTTTTAATTGTTACCAAGTGCGAGCTACCTAATCTGGTGTTGTGTTAGTTTGACTGGGCTTTTTGGTATCCTGCGGTGGACAGCAGCATGCCGGTGTGGCAGAGGGTGGGCTCGTCTGTCTGTGTCGGCCACGGTGCCACAGAGGCCCCAGCAGGGTCGGGGGGAGCGGGGGCTCAGGGTGCCAGCACAAATGAGCTCCATTCATTTCCCCACTTCGGCATATGGTGGCCCATTGTCCTCGGCCACAGAGGCAGAAGTGATGCAATTTGTTGGCATGTCCTGTCATTTCACAAACTGCCCATCCCACTGAGGCCTGCACCAGCAGAAGACAAGCAAGGGCAGCTTGTTGTTTCACTGCACAGCAACATGCAAACACATGAATGGAAGAAGAAAGACAAGAAAAACAGGATCAATCAGAGTAAATCTTCTGGAAGATTATGATATACAGTATCTGTGTTAATCCCTGTTGTTTTTCAGGTTATGACAAACGATAATCCTTATTTACAGATAAGATAGAGACTGATCTCAGCTTTAAGGCATGACATAGCCTCCTTATTTGCGACACCGGCTTCCACAAAACAACTCTCCGAATGACTACAAAATGCATGTCTAAAAATAAAGTCACAATAAATGGAGGAAAAATAAAGAGTGAAACTTCAGATTTATGAGTGATAGTGAACTGGGCAGAACACCCTGGTCTGTTCCTGGTTTCACTTTGCCAAGCATGAAGCTACTGTCTGACAGGAGAGAGGAAGGAGTCTTGTTTAACTTCCTGAAAAAAGCAAACTTTTGACATGAGCTGCACAATATAAGCAATGCAGCAGCAGACAGAAAGAAGTGTCTAGACATGACTGCATTTAGGTCAGACAGAGGAAAACATATGATCACACAGTCATGCACAGGACGATGCTAGTGCATGGTGTTGACAGGCGTTTGAACTGCAGGGTCAAATGTCACTGAACCCATTTCACACTCACATTTGTGCACATGTGTGTATGTGTGTGGTACCGTATCCTCGCTTCACGGCGTGGTTTCACTCAATACTGGCCGTGTCAGTTGGAGGTTTTGTGTTCATTGTCTGCACAGCGGGCAACCATTCGCGTGCAAGCCCTCACGGCGTGTGACGGGGAACGCTGGCTTTCCACTGAGCTCCCAAGCAGAAATCAACAGAGTGGTGCACCTTCAGACAGAAGTCAACTTCACTGCAACCACCCTGAAGATTGATGACAATGGTCCTGGTTTCAGTGGGAGTAAGAAACAAGAGGCCCTCAGAGACTCATTACACCCCAGCAAGCTTAGGAGAATAGAGTGACACTGCTCCTGATTACCAGATTCATCATTTGTATTGGTCTGGGATGCTCTTTGACAAATGTCAGCTGGAGAACTGTACCAAAAATAGTGATGAGGTGGTTGTCCTGTGCGGCTAAGAAATCCAAAGAAAGAAGAGTTCTTGCAACACACATGAAGAATGCAAAAACAAGCAGATAATCCATCTCTGTCCCACACACAAACATTTAACCTCTCTAACTCTGGTCCATCTAATACCCCAATCATATATCTGTGACCTCAATCCTGGCCACACGTCCCCCTCTTGTTTTTCCAGCTACCACGCTGCTATAACTAAGATCCCTCTCCAGGCCTATCCTTAACCCCATTTGTACCCTCCACCCCCGCCAACCCCCAAACCTGTCAGGGACCGGCTTCCCATGTCCATCACTGGCTGATGGATGGGGTGGAAGGTCGTCACCCCACTCTCAACAGCTCACTGATCCCATCAGCCATGCAGACACCTCCAAATCATAGTGGGGGACGTTACTGAAATTATACATTTAGGGAGAGCACCCTAAAATAGAGGTGTGCTTTATAACAAAATTTGATTTAGAGAAATCTGTCACTGACATTAAGTCATATTTTGAGATTTCATTGGCTTACCTCATATTTTTAGAGCTTTTTTCATGAAAAACAAACAAATTATTTATATATAGTGAGGGACACTGATAAAGCAACGGTTTTTATGTGTCCTCCAGGGATTCAGTGTTATTACTAAAACACTTTAACAATCGTAATAGAATTGACCCAGCAGAAATATTGTCTCTTTATTCAGCATATTTGTTTTGCACGACACAACTCCAAGTAGCCTCAAATGTAGCATTAAACTGCTAGCCTCAAGTCAAGATAAGGTGGTTAATCAATCTTTTCTTGAGTCATTCAAAAGTGTGACAGTCTTATTTTTCATCAGGGCTACAGCAGGATAAGCTGTGGCCTCCAAACTTTCTGTTTCAAAACAGTCATTGCATACCTACATTTTTTGGAGGCCTTAACTGCATCATAAATATCTTTAAATTTCCTGATATACAGTATGTTCTTCATATACTAAATTTTGGCACCAATTTGACTCGGACAGCAACTCTAAAGTTTATTGGGACATTTAGGTCCGTTTCTTTGTTTGCAGTAACTAATGCACTTCTTTCAGCTAAAGAGGTCAGTAGACTCACCTCAATACCTCACTTCAATTGTATTATTGCTTTCTATCCTCACTTCCAAAGATTTGATTCCAAAAATATGATCTGAGGAGATTTACCTTCATGCATCTCCTACAGGAGCTTTAAAGGACAGTGGACAACTTTATCATGCATGCTATTGTACTATCTGAATCTTTCCTACAGAGTTTCATTTGTAAGAATTGGTGGCATTTTAAGGTCAAGTATTGACTCAAACTGTTTTATTTACCACTGTAGATTTATAGCTGCACATACTAAATCTTTTCTTTTGTACCTCCATGTTCCGAGGTGAACAATTCCACTTTTTAGAACAGTTTCCTCAGAGCATGGGGTGAAGATAAACACAAGTAAAGGATTTTTGTTTTTTTTTATTGTGCTAGAATTCAAGTTAAGTGTGAAGATTTGCAGCATTTTCCAGCCAACAAGACTTCTCCTTTTAAAAAAAGATATTGGATACTCAGCAGAAAAACAGAAATGATTTGCCGGTAGTGATTTTCCGTAAAAACACGATGAAATTTGATTGCACACTGGTATAAACTAGTGGAGTGTCTCACCCCTGACTGACCTTAAATTGCCTCTTGATGCCTATGGCAGAGAAGCAAAAAAGAGCAGCCATATTGCCTAATTTGACACATGTCCTGGTAAACAAAGCTAAAGGATATGGTTGGTATAACATTGCTGAGGAGTCCACAGAAGCTCAGATCTTGGACAAGTCTGTTGATATTTTCCCAGCTGGGGAGCACATCGCAGCTGAAGGGAGGAGGCTGGGTTTCGTCTCACTTATATCATTCAGTCAAAGGGGAGGATTGACATACTATAAACACACAAGAAGAATAAACAATACACAATAGTGTCAAGCTTTGCAGCTGACAGGGGCATAGATCAATGTTATTTCCCGCTTTTGCAAAAATACCTAATTCCCCTTATTTAATCAAGCGCCGCCTTTGCTCGGGGCCCCTCCGGCTGATTTATGACGCCCGCTGCCTTTATGAGTACCTGTTTCATTTTCTTGTCTCTGCTCTGACACCTAAAGTGATAGGAATTTTATGCTTTTGATAACAATATGAGTTTCACTTTGGCCCAGAATTCATGGCCCTGTCAACAGGCAATAAATAACAGCAGCAGGAAGGGGGGGAACATTCACAAGCCGTCACGAAACAGCATCCACCCCATGGACTCTACTATGGGGTGGATTCAGAGAGGATGGATGGAGCTATGAAAGAGAGAGAGCGAGAGAGAGAGAGAGAGAGAGAGGATCCCAGTAAAAGGTCATGTCAGCGAGAGTAGAGGTGCAAAATGTTTCCCGGTGTCGTCTCGTCAGGACTCATAATTGGTGTGCTGTCATATGAGCATTTTGATAATGTCACATGAACATAAATGCCATGCTGTGACACACTGTTCTTCAGCGATCACAAGTATGCAATTCAGGAGTGCTCAAACAATGTCTTGTCACGGATCAGCTCGAGAAAATCATTACAGGTCATGGACCCCCATTTGACTTTTATCATATGCCTCTGCTGGGAGAGGAGCTCTACTGTTGGCGGCTTAGTTATGATCTGTAGGTATGATCTTTAGTCCTAAAGTTGGATTCGTCATTTGGTTTCAAACTTTTAAATCAAAATACTCTTGAGTAGCCTATCCCATTGATATGACATTGTGTTTTCTGAATAACGATTATGTGGCAAAGCCCTCTAGCTATCGTACAAGTGTGAAAAAGAGCAAACTGGGAAGTCAGGTGACATTTCACAAGGATTAAGCCTGCAAAGAAAAAGCGTTCTGGATAAATTGGTCAGACTCAACATGGCAGAATTTTACTTGTGTAGGTCCCATGACAAGACAAGTGGACGAATTGTAAGATTCGTAATGACAGGTTTTGTAATACAATTTCTCAGGACCCGATGCTACGTAAAGTACTCTTTGTGCTTGGCATCCACATCTGTTCACTTTTGTCTCTCTGTCACAGTCCTTCCCATCTTTGCAAACTATTTTTTAACTGTTAACTGTTTTTCTAGTTTGTTTGTTTTCCAGACTAAGAAGCTGCTAAAGCAATAACTGCGAGATTTCTGTGCAAAGCAGTAATGTGAAAAACACCAGAACTGTCATTTGAGTCAAAATGAGGACTGTCAGCATTGATGAGCGAATCACAATATGCTTATATAGTCCAAAATTAACATGCTTTTATTTTTGCTACAATATAGTTAAGCCACGCCTCTTCTTCCTGCCATTGCTCATGGTGTTGCCGTGGATTAAGTAACAACACCAACACTCGTTTGAATGCCACACTTCACTTTGATATTTTGCTACCAACTAGGTAAGCAAACAAGAGCAGCCAACCAGACTGATTTCATTTGGCAAGCACATCACAAAAGCATTATCTGGGCGTGGTGGAAGCTAAATTGAAGATAATAACAGCACCTGTCAAATAGGTGTGTGATTGCAGGCAAAGTGTAGTGGACTTAGGGCTGAGCGAAGGTGTCACACATATGAGACCCGAACAAACCAGGGAAATTGACCAACTCCTGAGAGCAAATGCAGTAACAGTAACCAGGAATCGGTGGACAAAACTGAATAATTAAATGATCGAGGAATGTCAACACTACATTTTGTACTGCTGCAAACTGTTTACTGTATGTCTCAATATGTGACACATTTATCCTTTAAATTTCTCAAAGGAGCTCTGTATTTAACAAAATAAGCACTTTGAAGGTGTCTCCTTTTCATTTAATCCCCGTATTAAAACTGTGGTAAGATTTTCTCAACATCATTCACTGTTTCAAATTGCACCATAGTAGAATTTTAAACATGCAGTTAAAAATATGGTTAATCATGATTAACTATTGAAACTATGCAATTATTGATCATGATTGCCGCTAAAGAAATAGCCTTTATTACTGAACTGCAAATATTCACAATGAGTAACACTTTGACCCTACAAAACAGGAAAGACATTTTTTTCCAGAAAATACTGCCTCACTAAGTACAGGACAAATCCTTTAAAGAGAGAATATGTACGCATTTACCCAAAGAAGGGGCCAAAATAAACACAGAAGAAAAGTTCCTCACAGGAGCTTTAAAAGATGAATTATTCAATAAAAATATTTCTTATTTCTTATCAACAAGGAGGATCAAAAACACTGTGAAAACAACAGTGAGAACAACTTTCTCGACAGGAGAAGCCATGAAGCCGCTTCCTCACACAAAACTTCACCTCTCCTTTTGCTTCCCCTCCTTACCTCTTAGGACACTCCTAAGTCTGTCTCATCTTTAATCAGCTCAAATAAAAGTGTGGGAAAAAAAACATGAAAATTTGCACATGGCGCTGTATGCCTCGAAAAGAGTGCAGAAGTTGGTCCATTTCATATTGACACTTTACCCAATCCTTCGACAAATTGGTTGTTTCTGTGTTGTAACTAAAAACCCTGCTGTTACCTTGGCGATGACATTAAACCTTGTGAAAACAGCTCTCTCTTTTTTTTACGTGATAAAGTCAAACAATGATGACGCACTGTACCCACCGACTTCAACTGAGGAATGGGAAGCAAAATGTCAAGCATTTTAAAAGTAAGCGGCTGTAAACTGTGGTTATGGAGACTATAACGAATCACTGCCCTACCCCACAGCTCTCTTTGTTCCAGCCTCTCCTCGTCCTCTCTGAGTGAGAATATTGTGAGTCTGAGTGAGAGGAAGGAGAGACAGGGAGATGTTTTTGTGCATCCCTACTTGAGCCCTGTGTGTGTTTGGCACTGGGGCCTCAAAAGAGCATGAAGAAAAGAAAAGGCTGGGTCACAACAAGTATTTGCCGCAAAAGGGGTGTGAGCTGGCACAGAGTTTTGGCATGGACACAATGCATGGTGGGATGGCAGCACTCAGGAGCCTCCTGACAGAGACAGAAGCTGCTTGGGGCCAAACCAGTGTCTCAGTGGGGCCGCAGAGGATGAGGGAGAGAGACCAGATCAGAAGCAGAGGGGAAAATTGAGACAGATTTCCTTGCAGGTGTTGAGATAATAGATGGACAAATGATCTAATCGTTGGAGCATTTTCAGGAGAGCTGAACAGAGGGAGGGTTCAGGGGGGTTGTGGTGGAGGTCCAGAGATCACAGAGTAGCAGGATTTGAATTACAAAAGCTAACAGGTTGACATCTGCAAACCTGAAAACCATGAAGGAAACAAGACTTCAATATGTGCAACTCTTACTGCACCATCCACTGTGTGGAGAGGGCGATGATGTCCTGCAGACTCAGGCCTTCGAACAAGCATGTGTGTTTCCATCCTGACTCAGGTGTTGCTGTAACTTGGCAGTGT